GTAGTTCAGTTATTAGGTGCTGGAATGTCACCTAAAAATTAATTGCAATTATTTGTTGGCATAAAACGTATAATTTAAAATACGAACTAAACATTTTGACTCCCATAAACCATTCACCTAACTTTTCCTGTATTGTTTCAACATTAGTGAGGGAACCAATTTCCCTCACTAAAATGGGGGGGGGGTATTTGTTAATAGTTAGAATGAATAACTGTTGAAACATTAATGAGATAATGTGCCTTAAAATTGTTCAGTGTATCCTTCCATCCATACTTCCTTCCATCAAAAGTCCTATATTGGTAAAAGTAGAATCCCAGTAACAAAATTATAACAATAGGTAATTTTCATAATTTGGTGATTTACTATAGTTCGGCCGCTTAGAAAACGACCTGCGAGCTAATGCTAAACCAATGCTGGAGGAGGTCGCTTTCTAAGCGGCCGAACTATAAATACAGTAAACCTTCAATAGTTCAACGGTTGAGCTATTTTGTCAAGTGATATTTAATGGTTACTATTGTGATGTAAGTTGACTTGAACATTAATTTGTCATTTATTGTTGACTTCAGACTAATGAACAGTGAAATTGTTAAGATTTTTAGTTAATAAATATGGGTAATTTCTATATACCGTAGACTTTTGTTTTTACTTTCCTGTATATTAAACTCCATAAACTCCCTATAGTTCGACATTTCAATAGTTCGTCAATAGTTTGACACCCCTTAAGTCCACAGAGTGTCGAACTATCAGGTTCTACTGTATACACTGCCCTACTTTAGAAGTCAATAATAATTGAATAGGTGGCCAAATGGGTACAGGGTCCTAAGTCATCAAATTAAGGAAATTTGATGTGAAAATCTGACTATACAAGTGAAAAATTCAGTATATAGAAACAAATCTATTTTTACTTGTCAGACTAGAGAGGGCCTCAGATATATTCATTGTTGTAGGTCACTATTTGATTGCAAATTTCTTTCTCTGCCCACTCCATGTCATCTAAAAGTCTGCTGGTGGGCTATTATGTCCTTGCAGAACTGAGTTTTTAAATAGGGTTTTAAAAGGACCTGTATGTAAAGTCGATCTATGTCTATTATAAGTTTCTCTCTATAGACCACAGAAAACATATTACTATAACCCAGAATGCCAACCGCGTGGTAAAAAGCATTAAGTGTTTTGAGAGAGCTTTGCCTGTCAATCGTAGGCAGCGCCACCAGCGTTGCCATGCACTCAGCATAGCAACGCTGGTGGCGCTGCCTACGCTTGACAGGCAAAGCTCTCTCAAAACACTTAATGCTTTTTACCATGCGGTTGGCATTCTGGGTTATAGTTGTATGTTTTCTGTGCTATAGACTAAACTCCAACCAAGTATATTTCAAGGTGGCGCGTGGGGTTTTCTTAGAACCACCAACATGCCAGTGATGCTAATAAAAATGTTTTCGTACTATAAGGAAACGGAGAAAAAAATCTTTAAATTTTTCTTATCAAACGTTCAACTTACCTCAGTGACTAAGTGATAAATCAATCAGCTGTTTGCTATGATACTGCATTGGTTTTAATTAATATTCAACCCAATACACTAGTAAACTCTGGCAAGATGGTCCTGAACTTAATTTATTTTCTTGGCTTCAAACTTTCATATCACATGGGAAGTCTATTCTGTGTATAGTCAATGATAAGACATATTTATTCCAAATTTAAATAACATTAGATTTAATGAGTGCTTCGAACTTCAAGTAGCTTATTAGAACCAACCCCCCCCCCCACACCACCCAAAAAAAGGAGCCAACGTAAAGCTTTCAACAACAAAAGCTTCGTGGCAAATCCCTTTGGACTTTGAGTTACTGCGACTCGCACTCTTTCAACATTTGCTGGTGTACAAAGTTTTGCAGCACCCACCGATTATTTTTAAGGTTTAAGCGTTTATCCTAAATAATTTTTCCCAGTTCACCATTGTTTTCCAACCTGGAACAGCGCCATCTTGACCAAAGATGGAATGTGGTCCAAACAATCTCTGGGTTTTTGCACAAGAATCACTATTTTTTAAATAGGTTTCCACATCAAAATCTCAGTGTTAATAGCCTCAGGCATAGTGTTTACTAAAATGGCATAGTTTAATTGATGTTATAAGCACAGCTGATTATTCGTTGTTGCAACAATTAACATGTGACAGCTAAAACAAATTGTGGCGTTCTCATTGCCTCACCCTGTATTAAACGAAACACAAAGCCCTGGTAATCACATGGGCTTGTGACAAGTTCAGAGACTATATAATTAGTCGAGAGAATGTATTTGAACCGGATCACAAGCCACTTGTGAAAATCTTCTCTCTAAGAATTTGGATGACATTAGACTACACCTCGCTTACAGCGAATGAGGCTTCGCATGATGAGAACCTCATATTCAGTGACATATACACCTGGAAAACACCTTGCACCAGCTGACTGCTTTCAAGATGCCCAATTCCAAACAAGGAAACATATGACATGGAAGAAGAAATTGAAGCCTTTGTTCAGAATGTGGTTGAAAACATACCTACAACTGATGAAAACATAAACAGGTTACAGGAAGCTCAGCAAGCAGATCCCATCTTCAGAAAGATTGCAGTATAGTATACTGTCATAATGAATGGCCAGAAAAATCACAACTTCCATCTCAACTAATCCCTTACTTCTCGGTTAAAGATGGGATATCACTGATGGAAAACTTACTTTTACACAATTCAAGAATAATAGTACCATCAAGTCTTTGTTAAGAAATGCTTCATAGAATACACATTGGTCATCTAGGAGCCACCAAATGTAGAGAAAAGGCTAGATTCAGTTTATGGTGGCCAGGAATGGCATCAGATATAAACATGATGGTAGCTTCATGCCCAACATGCATCAAACACAGGGAAAATATAAATGAGCCCCTCATTCCTTTTCGAGTTTCCAAAACGTCCATGGGAAAAGGCAGTGATGGATTTGTTCAAGCTCGATGGCAAATGGTTCATTGTTTTAACAGATCAGTTCTCAAGGCCTCAGAAGTTATTGAGAAATGCAAGTCAACGTTTTCTCGCCACGATATTCCTGAAGTTTTATACTCAGATAGTGGAATGAAGTTCGGCATCGCTAGTGCTGAATTCAGAAAATTTGCCAAAGAGTACAACTTTTTATGCAAAACAAGCAGTCCTAAGTTTCATCAGAGCAATGGCTCAGCCAAGGCGGCTGTCAAAATTGCAAAAACTGTTTTAAAGAACAACAAAGGCGACCCATATTTAGCTTTGTATCTAACAGGAACTCTCCACTTGCCAATGGTTACAGCCCAGCAGTTATTATATGGACGTAGACTACGGGACCGGGACATTTTGCCAACTTTACCATGTCATCTGGAGAAAAAGGCGGACTTCACTCATCTCCGAGAGATGGAGAATCATTATAGACATCGTGCTCGACCCTTATCAAATGTAAACCCAGGAACCAAAGTTTGGATATCTGATCTGGAACGTGAAGGACAAGTGGTAGAAAAGCTAAACTCACCACGATCTTATAAAGTGTTGACTGACAAAGGAACCATAGTTTGAAGAAACCGGTTTCACCTGCGACCAATGCCAAATATTCAAAAGGAAAGTAACCACAACCATCCACAATCAACAAGTTGTCAGATGGATAATCGAATCTATGGAGGCAACGGTACTTACATAACCAAGTTTTCAACGGTTAACCACAAACGTCAACCATCAACAAGTGGTCAGATGGATCATCGAATCGATGAAGACATAACAAAGTTTTCAATGGTTCCTCCAGACACCTCTGGAAAATCTTCAGCTAAAATAACAACCAGATCAAGACGGCTTATAAAACCTCCCCAGAAACTCTACTGACAATTGTCATTATAGATTTATGTTATCATGTGTTAATTGGTATAGTTTACTTCTAGTTGATTTGTACTAATTAAATACTTTTACTTAAACTATTCTATCATGATAAATTCTGATTTTCAAGCTTTAATACAAAGTTTTACATTTTCATTTCACCAATAAATTGTTAGTCAAAGTAGTAGTATTACCAAAAGCTCTAATTTACAGTCTCGGACATGTTGAAGACCAAATCCTCCAACCATACAAGAACTAGCTAGCAGTGGTTAACACCACATGATGAGGAAGGACACATAGGCCTAAATACAATTATAAAATTAAAAATTATTAAAGAGTCAAGTGAACAATGGAATAGGATTTTGAACAAGATGACACTAGTTGGCGGGTAGAGAATAAATTGTGCCCTACTATCTTGGAATCTGGACGAGATGGCACAACACCAATCTCGCTAGTTCCCTTACAAGTAAAATAATGCCAATGACATTAATAAACACAGAAAAAACTGGCAAGCATGTTCAGCCTACTTTTTATAAAAGTTTGTGGGATGAACTTTGTAATTTTGACTCTCACATGTTTTACTTGAACGAGAAACCTAAATTTTATTTTGCAAATCAAACATGATAGTAGAATTCAAAAGTTTTTATAAATCTATATAGTACGTAGTATATAACTACTTTAGAGTGGTTAACTTAGCTGTACGATTTAAAATTCAAATCATTATTAATTTATTTCTTTAATCATTCATAGAAATAATGCTATTGTATTAACTTTAAACAAAACACAACTGAACTGTTTTCTAGACCTATATACCGAGAAAAGGTTTTTGGGACTTCTAAAATATTTTAATTAATATAATTGAAAGACATTTTTCCAAATAAAGACTATATTATTTTACTTTGTGTTGTTGTGTTATAGCAGAGGGGATGCAAGGAATTGTGCAAGAGGGTCATGTGTAGGATACAGTATCAACTACAACAATAACTTGAAATAAAACACTGCTTGTAATGTACAAAAATGAGACACAATATTTGATAATGAAAAGAGTTTTTAATTGTTAAATTAATTTACCTAAATCTGGATTAATATACGACCTTAAGTTAACAATTAATTATATTTCAAGAAGTTTTATAAAAATAAAAGTGGGCAAGTATTACATTTCTTTTTGAATCATTTTATAGTATTTGCTTCCAAAATCAAGTTAATAGTTAGTAAACCATTATAATAACATGTTGTTTTAACGAATACAATTTATTTATATTTATTAAATATAAGATATTTCAATGAGATACATTTAGAGGAAATATTTAGAGTAAATTAAAGTAAGACTAGACTAAGGTTGTTGCCTAAAAAGCTATTCATTACTCTAATATTTGCCTTAAAAATAGTAGGATAAAAATTGTCAAACCTATACGCTGCAATTACCTTTAGTTTCTTTATAGAAGCAATAAAGTTTTGTAAACATAAAACAACTATTAATTAACCAACAGACAAAACCTTTTCACATTGTATTAGTTAAGGCATAATTGAGTTCAAACACAATTGAGAATTAACAGCTGGTGCTTGGTTAATTTTCTAAAATGTTTTGATTTTCAAATGGACTTTGTTGAGTAGTTTCACAACTTAACACAAGCATAAAATATTTGTATATGACAACAAATAATTATAAGCAACTCAAAATTCAAGTACGCTCTTGTCCACTTTTGGTAGTCGTGAAAGAGCCAATATTTGAATGTTGAGTAATTTTTAATACAAACTAAAAACGTCTTAATACTTGTATTAAGTTGTGAAACATTTTACTTAAATCTGTTATCTGTGATCATAACTATTTCAATGCTGAATTAATGATATAAATCAATAGGACTAAACATTATGAATTGGAACATTTTGTAAATATTATTCACCAGTTCTGTAGTGATAGTGAAACTTGACTGTACATAATGAAAAGTATCTATTAAAAAAATTAGTGGTGACTTCCAAACAATAACAGCCAATTCCTTGATGATATTTGTAAAAGAATTTTACTTCTTGGTAATAGTACAAGTGGTTGTTGATGCTAATTTAATAAAGTTGTACATGTTACAATTTAGATGGAATATGCAAGAACACAGTGCAACAAACTCAAAACTCTGTAAAGTTTTCAAAAAAACTTGAATAGTCATGTAATACGTGAGAAAATACATTAAACAGAGTTGAAATGATTGGATAAATTTTATACATCCCATGTTTTACAGACAACATGTATTTACAACTATAAAATATCAATGAATTAAGCACTCTTGTAGTTTCAAATAAAACCAATACTTGTCCACTCTCTTGTTTGCAAATGATTATGTAGTTTTAATAAAACAACATAGATTAAATAAAACAAAACACTATGATCAAATTGAATGAACCAAAAACATTTTTAACAAGGAAAACAAAACAATGTGACCAAACAAAAAGGAGTGGTTTCCGCTTTAACCCTGTTAACTGCTACACAATGAAATTTTCTCTGTCTGTCTTCTTCCTTAATTAAACATAGTGATAAAATATTCTTTCAAAACACAATACATGTAATACAACCATGTAATACAATGTAATACAACCATTTCTTAGCAAAATAAACTATTTGCGAACATGAAGACTATACAAACAACTTAAGAAATAAAAACACCTTTGTCATTTATACTAAGGAAGGGAAAAATTCAACACCGAACATAAATGAGTGGTTTTGGGCAAAGCCATTAACAGCCAGCTACACAATAAAATTTTTCCTGTCAGCTTGAGATGATAATGAAGAAAATATAAACGTTTCAGGTCTGGTTGAACTTTTAAACCAAAAGATGAAGAAGTTAGAGACTAATTCAATATCAACAATTCAGAGACTATATCTTCTCAGGTCAAAGACATTATTGACATGATTTTTTTCAAGTAAACTAAGAACAATTATGCAATCTAAAATCACTGTATTTTACCAAACCACAACATGTATTTTTAATTTTTATTCAATTATTTTATTTTATTTAGCTTTTTTTATTCAGCCTTTTCACTTTATGTGCCAGAGGAAAACACATTTATAACAAAAATTTGGGTTAGTGCAAAAAAACTCTCATTTATTTAGATTAATTATTTCAGAAATAATTTAGTGAAAAATAACTATTATTAAAAAAACCAATATACAATTAGCTGTCAAAATAGAGGTGTTCCTTACCCGTACAAAGCTTTAAGGCTGTTATTTTATGAAATCTCACTCATTGGGTTGAAAAAAAGTATCATTAGTAACAAAGACTAGAATAAAAAAGTACATACAGAGTTAGTACAAAATCAAAGAGATATGATCGTCAAGTTAGTTAAAGACTAGAATAAAAGACTACATATCACAGAGGTAATGAGCAGTGTACTTAGGTCTGTCTGTGTTTTTTACATGGTGAAGTACACAGTTCACTGGTAAAATTATCTTCTTTTCCTGGAATGGGAAGTTGTCAGGTAACTTTGTATTCTCACTTCTGCTGGTCACAGCCTACAAAATACAATTTTGTAATAAATTCATAATAATTTCTTTTTAAGAGGTTGGTGGCCTACGTGCTTGGAATGTACAGTACAAGAGTGAACTGTACTGACAACATTTAGTGGCGGACACCAGGATATTGCTGCCATTGACTGTCACACTACCTGTATTCCATCATGTCAACTGAACAAACAATATTACGGGCAAGTTAGTATGATAGCTGACATCTTCAACTCTACATCTATACTTGATACAAGTCAATCCATTGATTATTAGCTAAAATATATGTAAAACAATGGATTGGCTGTGTTTGTAATTATAATAATAAAATAAATATAAAGTTTGTGGGTTGAACATTATCAATATCATGGCAGTCGTGGAAGCAGATAATCACAATCACTCCACCGTGTCATCACGATGACCGTTAATTAGGGGTCTGCGGTTTCAGTAGGCCTACATCATTTTACGTGGTACAAGTTCGGTTCGGTACAGCCTATTATAATAATAAATTACTTTCAATTTACTATCGTAGTCTACAGTAGTTGATTCTGAGCACATAAAGTCTTATCAGATGTTTGTTTACGATCTTCATCATTTATTACTAGGGTGATGTATAGGCCCTCTTAAATAATTAGGTCTAGGCCTAAGTCTTTTGATTCTTTGGAAGAGGTTTAAAATATACTAAGAAAATTGGATTGAGCCTGAGATAAACTAATGATTGATATGTGTGGATGTTAACTTTGTAAATGAAAAGACAATACTAACCGGACCGAGACCAGTCCGGATAACTGGTTTTTCCGGTTTTCCGGTTAAACTCGTTAAAACGGACTGTTTACTGTGATATTCGATTTAAATTTAGGAGAGCATTGTATTACACGTGATCACTGGTCTCAAATCTTTCCCACGAGAACAGTCGTTTCAGTATTGCCCACTTCCTGCCGATCTAGTCCGGTTAAACTAATGTGCTGATAACAATTGTCCGGTTAAACCGATGTCTGGTTAAAAGGTGTCCGGGTAAGAGGGAGTCTACTGTAATCTTACTCTGTGGTAATCCAAATTTTAGTTTCAGAAAAAAACTTTGCAAGAGTTGTATCTATCTTATAATAAGTTTTGAAGCTGATAAAAAAAGATGCTCTTTGCCATTTCTTCATCATAACCTTCAGTTTTTCATTGTCGTCTGTTGAATGTGAACAGCTGGCAACTACACTGTCTTCGTACTGAATACTTTTATATGTTTTTATAAGTTTAACACGTTCGCTACTGCAATAGTACGAAATTTTCTGTTTTTATAAGTTTAACACGTTCGCAACTGCAATAGTACGAAATTTTCTATTCACATGGACCAGCGACGCACATATGCGACGGCCGGTTTCCACCCATAGACTGCCGTCGCAAAATAGACTGCCGACGCATATTTGCGTCGGGGTTCTAGTGTTATTAAAATGCTTATATCTTTGTAGTTGTCTATTTGAAGGCACTGAATTCCCTGCAGTGGTCTACAGAGATCACAGGACAACTGCGTCGCTTGGTCTGTGGATATGATGATTGGTGACGTCATATAATAGTTGGAAAAACTGGTCTTTATTTTTCTGCATCACTGTATGTATGTATGCAGTATATATGCTGCATTATCCTATGTAGCTTTTATATTTGTTCAGTTACAATCTGTTCTTGAATAATCTGTTTATTTTTTTACTTACTTTCACCTTAAAACACCAAAAAAAATGAACTGTCGCATATATGCGACGTTTAGTCTATTTCAAGAAAACTATGATAATTTTCACTATTGTCTTCACTGTAGACCGGGCGTCGCAAATATGCAACATTACAAAAGGTAATTTTAAAACCACTTTATCATTGCTATTCAAAGTATCTCAGAGTAATAAAGGTAAAGCCTTTACCAATGAATTAAAATTAAAAATAATGGTTTAAATACAGTTCTGAGAAAAAAACCGCAAAAATACGGGTAGCCGCGTACCGTACCGACCTTATATTTTCTGTACCGCAGACCCCTACCGTAAATAATAAAGATTTCACCAAGGATCCAGTAAAAAGTATTGAGTTGGTATCAACAGTTTTGTGGAATCAAGTTAAAAGGGTTGACCCTAAAATTCACAACACATCCTAGGTCTTTTCACGGTTGAGTGGGTACCTGTATTAAAGTGTTGGCAGAATCCATCTTCAAAGATTGTTCAAGTCAAAATTAATAATGCTGCCATGAGATTATCAGGATGTTACCCAGAATGTTGTAGATTCTAAAATTTGTATTAAATGTTAAGTCACAAAGTAATGAAAGTAAAGTTTAGTTTAAAGTAAAGTTTAAAGTTTAGTTGGGAAATTCCATTAAATTTTTTTTGTCATGGTTAACAAAATTCACGACTCACAGTTTTAGGGTTTTAGATCACGGGTACTTACCATTTTCGGCATTTTCATTGACATCGACATCAGTGTGAGCTGGTGAAGATGATATGCTACTGAGTGGTGTTTTGTGTCTGGTGCGGTCATCTCCTGGTGACAGGGATGTGAAGCTTCGTCGATTCCTTGAGTGCCTAAAAAAAGTCTGTTTCATTAGAATCCATAGTGGTTTACGGGCAGCTGTTTCCACAGACGACATGGTTATTGGTTAACACCCACAACCACTATAGATTCCATCTTATGTCTTATCCATTTGACATTCTTATTGTTTTTAAAGTTACATATTTAGACTCTTTTAAGGCAATTTGGGTTTCGTCATAATTCAAAACCAAATCATTTGTTGAAATAAATTAAACACTTGAAATAAGTTAAAATCTTTGAAGTAAAACGTGATTTCCGAAATCTTGGTAATTTTGAGATCTTGGCCATCTCTACTTGTGACTAGTTAAGTTATGAGAAGTGTAAGTGTAACTTAAAATTAAATAATACTTTGGATCGAATCAATTAACAGAAGGGGTCTAATTGACAGGACATGACATGTTCGGTTGCATGTTGAATGAACATCACAAGATTACTTACTGAACTGTAAAAAATCTATTTGTCAAGAATATTTCCACCAATTTTTACTAAACATTTTTTAAACTAGATTCTACCAAACTTAACTGTATTAATTTAAATTTTAACATACCCTGGTGTTTTCCCAAAGAGTTTCCTTCTTGGAGGCGTTTTCCTTGGTACGTTGTTTCCAGAACCCAACTGCAATCATTTTCAATAATTTACCCAACAAGCAAATAGCTGGATTTTACCATTATTATTTATTATCAATATTTTTACCTTTTTGGTAGCCTAGGGTGTCCAAAATTCTTATCTCCTGCGAGACACAATATAAGTTTTGATAAATCGCTAAATGTGCTAAAAGCCTCTGATAACGCTCAAAGGTCGAAAATATGGGAGGAGTATTTTATTTTCAAAAAGGTCACTTCAATGGGTAGACATAGCTTATTAAATGTTAAAGAAGACTTTTCTGATAAAGTTACCTTTCATCTGTACAGTAGACTAGAGGGGGAAGAGGTTACCACGGATAACACAACAGCTGATTAAGACAAGATAAGGGCAGGGCCGGATTTAGCATTTCGGCGCCCCTAGGCCCAAATAATTTTCCGCCCCCTAGTCTGGTCAAAGTTATCATGCCCATAGGCCTGAGTTAATTGCTATAATTTATCATTGCAAGTTTTTTTGAAGAATTGACTCATTTAGCCTTAACAAAATGCCGTGTTAAACACTTTTAGCAATCTTATGCTTTTAGTAAATGCCTACGTTTGTGGGGCTGAAACAAAATAACTCAATCCACCGAGCATTCCTGCAAAAAACATGGCCATTGATCCCAATTTCAGGCCCAAAAACATGAACTCCATACAGTACGTGATACCATAGATTATTAGTGGTACTAGTAGATTTGTCATCATAATGGATGAGCTGAAAACAATTCTTTTTATTTAAACTTAGTTTATCCAAAATAAAACGATATAATCATAAACAATAGGTTGTCTCCTGGTTATATTACAAAAGAAATTAAAACACATCATAGAACTAACCCTAAAATAATAGAAACAAAAGTACCGTACGTCAAAACTAACGTCCAGTGTCACCAACGTGAACTAGACATTTAAATTAAGTATTTAAATTAACAATGTGATAGGAAGTCGACTTGAATTATATTTAATCTATGGTGGTACTGCATCTAGGTAATACTTCAAAAGCAAAACAGACTACAGAACAATATTCCGGCCAACCATACCGATCCTTAGGCCTGAGGAGAAAATTACAGTATTAATGGTGCTTTGGAGGGTATTGAATTTGTCGAAAACCTGTTGCAAACTGAGATTAATATTTTTTCGTTAATTAGATAAATTAATCTTTTTTTTAATATTCATCACAACGTATTATACAGGGTGTCCCGGAACTCTCTACCAATATTTTAGGGCATTGTTCCTGGGTAAGAAACATATTTAAATATCATATTTAAATTGTCCGGAAGTCCTTAGTTACTCAGATAGCCGCCATTTTGTTTTTTTCACTTATTAATTTTTTTCTGAAAATTGGCTAAACATACGAAGCTGAAACTTTGCACAAACATTTATGACAACTAGGCAAAGCTACAAAAAAATTATGACGATTTTTCAAATTCATAAAACAAAATGGCGGCTGTTTAAAATTTTGTTTCTTAAATTACTCGAAAACCATTGATTTTAAAAAAATTTTACAAGTATGACTGTTTTAAGGCAATTTTATTACAAATCGATCGACACCTTAATCTTTAAGATCGGACGAGTATTACTTGAGATATGGTAGTTTTCGTGATAAGTGACCGCCGGATATTAGTTGCAGCGCATGCTGAAAGCGGTCACGTATCACTAAAACTGTCATATCTCAGTTAATACTCGTCCGATCTTAAAGATTAAGGTGTCGATCGATTTGTAATAAAATTGCCTTAAAAAAGTTATACTTGTAACATTTTTGTAAAATCAACGGTTTTTGAGTAATTTAAGAAACAACATTTTAAACAGCCGCCATTTTGTTTTATGCATTTGAAAAATCGTCATAATTTTTTGTAGCTTTGTCTAGTTGTCATAAATGTTTGTGCAAAGTTTCAACTTCGTATGTTTAACCAATTTTCAGAAAAAAATTAATAAGTGAAAAAAACAAAATGGCGGCTTTCTGAGTAACTAAGGACTTCCGGACAATTTAAATATGATATTTAGTTATGTTTCGTACCCAGGAACAATGCCCTAAAATATTGGTAGAGAGTTCCGGGACACCCTGTATATTTTATCTTGATCCTGCAGATTGTTGTAAACTAATCAAAATATTAGTCAATAACTTTTGTTTTGTGAGTTATTTGTTTTGTGTGTTTGGTGGTAACAGTGTCTAGCACGCATGCGCCCCTAATTACTCCGATCAGTAGCCATCGAGGTACCGAGCCAACATAGTGGCAATGCAGTGGCTATACGATGCGTACAGCTCGGGCGCTCGTCAACATCCCTACAGCCTACTCACGTACCAATGTTGTAACGAAATTGATGCGTTTATTCTGAAAAATAGTTTAAATCTTCTAACAATTATTTCTTTCTATGAACTTCAGAATCAGAATGCTTTATTAGCCAGAGATTTTTTAATCATCTATGACTATTTATTTTTATTTTTAGATATTAAAAAAAATTCTCGCCATTGCGCCCTCTGGGAGCTCGCGCCCATAGGCCCGGGCCTACCGGGCCTATTGGGAAATCCGGCCCTGGATAAGGGAGGAATGACCAGTAGGCCTACAACCTTGTGCGGTATTGCGTGTCTTCTCCCGCTCGCTTGATGTACAGTACGTGTGTGACCATGGTCGTAAAACTGTATATACATATATGTTTCGTGAACTGTACGGTTATGTTAATACGTTTTATAAATTGTGACAACCACTTCTGTGGGCAATGTTGAGACCTGTGACAGCGACTGAAGATGCATTGTAATTAATGCGAAACGCGTCTCGCAGGAGATAAGAATTTTGGACACCTTAGGCTACCAAAAAGGTAAAAATATTGATAGTAAATAGGTGTCTAGGCTAATATCTACAAACATTATTATTTAGAAGAAGATATAAAACTAATTGTAATTAATATACAAGATTGTGAAAAAAGGTTGTAGGAGCATTGCACTTTTGTTCAAATGACTTTCAAGGTCACAAACATTTATTTGTAAAATTCAATTCAATTCAATTTATGCAAAAAAGAAACATTATATTTAATTTTTTTTTACGTCAAATACTCTGAAATGAGGTCCCTGGGAAGCAAAGCTTGAGTGCAAGGGATCGAGTCACGAGCATCAAATGAAAATACTATACAATAACAAATACATAGATATATTAATTACACTAAATTGTGACATAAATATTATTGCTATTAACTATATTACTTTTGTGTTATCAATATTATAATTTTAATAGATAAATTACTACATCTATGTATTAAATGCGAGGTAATGTAAATCCGAGATTCAATTATCAAGATGAACAACAACTTTTAATCTAAATATTTTTAAAAAGATTAGCTCAAATTGTGAAGATGGATAATTTAGATGAGAATTGTATGAGATTATTGTAAGTTTCTCTCCCTTGTCGAATTTGGTTGACATGTTGGTACCATGTGTCACCTCATGTTTTTTCATCATCACCTCTAAATTAGTATCTACAGTGACAAAACCTACTGTAGAAGTGAATAGACCAAGGTTTGATAAGAACACACACTGTGGCGACCCTGGTCTAGGTTCAAGTCAATCTCCCCCAGGCCCACAACATTGCTATAGTCTCCAGTTTAGCTTCTTCTCTACCAATTTTTAAGACAAAGTAAAAGTTCAATGGCGAGCAGATCAGAAGGAATCACTCCAGCTATTACCATGACAGCCGATTCAAGAAAAATACAATACAATCAAATCAAGGACACCTTCCCCCACCATCCCTAGCAAGGACCACCCCTAGCTGACCAGACTTTGAATACCATAGCTTTGGTAATTGTTTTCAGGGTTTGTTACTGTCATATAAAATCAGTAGGATGGAATTTTCTAAACTGTTTTAAACAGTACAAAAAAGTAGGCCTATATTTTTTTGTTAAAGGAATGTCTAATGAAACATGCCATTTTACTTTGTTAACATAATTTTTAAATGAATCAAACTTTTATTTGGAGAAAATGTTTGTTTTTGTATCTTAACTTTTAAGATTATGAACATTTATAGATATGTCCAAGAAAATAGACATATGTTATGATAGGCCTGATTCCTGGTTCAATGTTGGAGTTTCAGAACATGATTTTAATGTAAAATGACACAATACATGGATTTTTGGAGTCTATAAAACTCCAAACCTGAAAAAAGTAGTTAAATATTTGTTTTTGTTTGTCTGGTGTGGTACATTTGACTGCGGATAGAACTGGATATTCTATAACATATTACATATTATACCAACCACTATCACTTCAATACAGTAAATGTCTACCAATCTTCAGAGTTAAGATGAATGTTGAAGACTTAGCTTTTGTAGTTGTATATGAATCGTAAGCACACCAAGAGAAAGAGAAAGTGATACTGTCTGTTAGGCTTACAAGGGGACAGTTTGCTAAATTTTGTGGCGAACTATGTTAAATGAAGATTTTGTTTATTTACGAGTCTCTCCTTATGGAAACAACAAAAGTCTCAGAGTAAAAAGTTAACTATGATATTACATTACAAAAGTTTTCACTAAACCACACACATGGAACAATACAGGTGCAAAGTGATCGCTTGATCACAACACTGGTCCAGTAAAGTCTCCGGTAATAACAAAAGTCTCAGAGTAAAAATTTAACTGTGATATTACACTACAAAAGTTTTCACTAAACCACACAGAACAACACAGGTCGCTTGATCACAACACTGGTCCAGTAAAGTCTCCGGTAATAACAAAAGTCTCAGAGTAAAAATTTAACTGTGATATTACATTACAAAAGTTTTCACTAAACCACACACATGGAACAATACAGGTGCAAAGTGATCGCTTGATCACAACACTGGTCCAGTAAAGTCTCCGGTAATAACAAAAGTCTCAGAGTAAAAATTTAACTGTGATATTACATTACAAAAGTTTTCACTAAACCACACAGAACAACACAGGTCGCTTGATCACAACACTGGTCCAGTAAAGTCTCCGGTAATAACAAAAGTCTCAGAGTAAAAATTTAACTGTGATATTACATTACAAAAGTTTTCACTATACCACACAGAACAACACAGGTCGCTTGATCACAACACTGGTCCAGTGAAGTCACAGGTAATAACAAAAGTCTCTAAACTTCTAATATTTTGATTAATTAGAGTAATAGCTTCCACACCTACTTCAGAAAATAATTGATCAACCAACACAAAAGAATCCTCTAGATTGTCACATGAATTAAATGAACCATCGCTGTCTAAGCTCATTCAAACATAACACTTTAAGAATAAATATAAAACAATACACACAATAAGTACTAAGAAAACATACCAAAGTATTTCTGATCGAAAGTGATTGTAACAATCATCTTTACAGCTTAGCAACATCGTCCATTGACGTTATCACACACACAGACGATGATTGATCCTTCCTCATCAATATTTTTCCATTGCGGATCCACAGATACGTGTAGTTTTTGTCCTTCTTTGCCTGACGGGCCGCAGTGTACACCTTCCTACGCCCAGGGCACAAGATTTCATTTATGTAAATTGGAACGGCCGACTGCGACAGTCCGAGATCATTTGTGTTGAAGTTTCGCTTTACGCGCCTTTTTTGTAAGAGATTGAGTTTGTCCTCACGACAAACAAATCTAGCAATGATAGTTGGGGGGCCGTCGTAACCCGTCCTTTTCCCTAACCTGTGACACACATCAATAGCCTCCCTCTCGATGGATAATCCCAAGGCGTTGGCGACAGTCTTTACAGTCTCGTACACATCTTCATTACTTTTTTCCGGAACTCCATGGATTTCAACATTATTAGATCTAATATACTGCTCACTATCATCCAATTTTACCTCCAATTCCCTAACTTTTTTACTTAAATTCCCATTTTCCTGTTTAAGTCCCTCAATAACAGACATGTACTCACTTAATTTTTGTGACTGCACATTTAAGGCTTCCTTTTGATCTTTGACCAAGTTATGCAAAAATTCAAACGAATTAGTCATATCTTTTTCCATCCGCTTGCGGTCTTCTTTTGCTTCTTCTAACATAAAAACTAACTGGTCGATACTTGCCTTACCTTCTTCCGCATCTTTCACCGCCTGCATAATTTGTCTTCTAGATTTCGCACATGGTGGGCATCGCCAAATCTGTCCTTCACTTGTAATGAAATCAAGTTCTTCTTTCGTCATGTTAACACATTTAAGATGACAACTTTTACCACATTCAGAACACGCAATAACTAGATTACGCTGCTGCAATTTGTTGTTACACACTACACAGTTTCCCGACATATTTGAACAGAGGAAAAAAAACGTACACTTGAATTTATTTGCGTAAAATACTTTACATTAATAAAAATGTAACAATAAAATAACAAAGCACTCTTTCTACTTGATTTAAATAACTGACTATAACATTATCAATGAAAGATAACTAAAAAGATAAGGGAGCGCTCGGCACTAGCGTCTGACCCGCACGACGTCTGAGTCATAACTGAAAAGTCTCCGGTAAAAATTCAATAAAATTTAGATAGATAGATTCAATGCCTAAGATAGATACTGAAAAGTCTCAGAGTAAAAATTTAACTGTGATATTACATTACAAAAGTTTTCACTAAACCACACAGAACAACACAGGTCGCTTGATCACAACACTGGTCCAGTAAAGTCTCCGGTAATAACAAAAGTCTCAGAGTAAAAATTTAACTGTGATATTACATTACAAAAGTTTTCACTAAACCACACACATGGAACAATACAGGTGCAAAGTGATCGCTTGATCACAACACTGGTCCAGTAAAGTCTCCGGTAATAACAAAAGTCTCAGAGTAAAAATTTAACTGTGATATTACATTACAAAAGTTTTCACTAAACCACACAGAACAACACAGGTCGCTTGATCACAACACTGGTCCAGTAAAGTCTCCGGTAATAACAAAAGTCTCAGAGTAAAAATTTAACTGTGATATTACATTACAAAAGTTTTCACTAAACCACACACATGGAACAATACAGGTGCAAAGTGATCGCTTGATCACAACACTGGTCCAGTAAAGTCTCCGGTAATAACAAAAGTCTCAGAGTAAAAATTTAACTGTGATATTACATGACAAAAGTTTTCACTAAACCACACAGAACAACACAGGTCGCTTGATCACAACACTGGTCCAGTAAAGTCTCCGGTAATAACAAAAGTCTCAGAGTAAAAATTTAACTGTGATATTACATTACAAAAGTTTTCACTAAACCACACAGAACAACACAGGTCGCTTGATCACAACACTGGTCCAGTAAAGTCTCCGGTAATAACAAAAGTCTCAGAGTAAAAATTTAACTGTGATATTACATTACAAAAGTTTTCACTAAACCACACAGAACAACACAGGTCGCTTGATCACAACACTGGTCCAGTAAAGTCTCCGGTAATAACAAAAGTCTCAGAGTAAAAATTTAACTGTGATATTACGTTACAAAAGTTTTCACTAAACCACACAGAACAACACAGGTCGCTTGATCACAACACTGGTCCAGTAAAGTCTCCGGTAATAACAAAAGTCTCAGAGTAAAAATTTAACTGTGATATTACATTACAAAAGTTTTCACTAAACCACACAGAACAACACAGGTCGCTTGATCACAACACTGGTCCAGTAAAGTCTCCGGTAATAACAAAAGTCTCAGAGTAAAAATTTAACTGTGATATTACATTACAAAAGTTTTCACTAAACCACACAGAACAACACAGGTCGCTTGATCACAACACTGGTCCAGTGAAGTCACAGGTAGTGTGTGACATGCCATTAAAATGTGTTCAACTTTTTGCTGCAACAGCCAGTAAGGGGCAGTTCATAAGCTTGAGTTTATTAGACAAACCAATCAAATTTCCTATAGAACATACTAATGCACAATTTGAACAACAAGATCTCAGAAACAAATTTATCAAGTTGTATTGTGTCCTTATTGATGTAGTCGGTAATTTGTGGAATCTCCATAGAATCTGGAAATTTCTTTTGGGTTAAAGTTACAAGAGTAATCAATATTTATAAATGTTTACGATATAGCAGATTTATAAAACTTATTGTCCAAGTAGTGTTCTTGATTATGCTTGTTTCCCTATCTATAATGTCTCAATAAGCAACCCCTCGATAGTTCTTACTCTTTTCATACACTTTTCATACTACTCCATTATACTATTGGAAGTAATGGCCTGTCAACAAGATGTAGAGGGTGAATCACGTAGTCTGAGGAATGTTGATCTGGAAAGTCCATGCGATGTCCGCGCGAAATAGACAAAAGAGTCCCTCATTTTTTCGAGAAAGGGTTGGTCATTAGGGGGCCGTCGTCGCTATGCTACTTTTTGAAGACGAGAACTAAGGTTTCATTTTCGTGTGTACCGTTGACTATAACATATCTCCATGGAGTCCACAACTACTAGAGGTGTGCTAAGTCTAATTTACATCGGGTATGGATCGGATATTATAAAAACGTGAGAATAAGTCGGGTGAAGTGATCTGATGGTGTAGTAAAGCAATTTGATAATATTGAAAATGAAACGACCCATACAATTAATTATATAAATTCGTGCCAAGCGCATTAGATTGCTCTAAGTAATGTGTTACAATAAACAAAATACTAGTAACAACTGTTACGTATTTTATCAATCATATGATCGCTTTGAATTTTGAACTAAAATACATTGTTTTTTACAAACAAAGTTTAGATTTGGTTTTATTATGTTAAATCAATTATAATTATAAATAAAAGAGTTTTTGTTTCAAATACACCAGGTATGTTGGGAATAAACACAACATAAATAACATTTAACTACTGTTGCTTTTTTGTTTGTATTCACTAAGACTCTTTTAATCGAATTTCCCTTTAGGGAATCAACTATTACAGTAGGTGGCATGGTAAGACCTGGGCACGGGACCGATTTACTTATAATTTTGATGTCGCCAGAGGCAAAAAACACTATTCGTCCGAATTGTATATATAGATATAAAAATGTGTCCAAATAACTCGAACAATTTTTTTCCGGTTTTGATGAAATTTGGCTTAAAGGTACACCACCAACGTATACCATTCGTCTCCACAAGACACCACACTATCTTCACTGTACGGGATCCACGACTCGAATGTCTGTCATATACTGTCTTGAAGTTCCAGGATATCCCAGGCTTATCGGTACTGATAAGCAGGGTCAAAAGGCGTCAAAAGGCGCTCGCTAGCTTCGCCGCCGCCGCTTGCTTACCTCAACAATCGGTGCGCGGCCAAATAGCAAATATTTACCCCCTCTAGGAAAAAGGCTCGTTACAACATATAGAAGATACTTCTGTTTCATACTGGTAATTCACATGTTTACATTAAATCTTACACAACAATTCTAAAAACACATCAAACACAGCTCATGCTTGACTTACTGACCAATCGTGAAGTGGAAGAGGTTTTCTTCAGTTTCTGCAGCATCTTGGCAATATCATCCTGGGAGATGCTGAATTGTGGGGGGCCTTTAGGGTCCTTCGCAGTCTTGACTGAGGTTGGTTTAGCCTTGATAAATGGAGCTGGAGTCACCAGAGAAAATGAAGGAGGTGGCGGAGGAGGTGGTGGAGGGCCTCCTATAACAACAAGTACATAAGTTACAATGTAAAGCTACAGTAGTGTGCTAAAGTATGTATAATTGTGCAGGGCACGTCTAGTATTAAAGCCAAAAAGGAAACTCACAATAAGAATAAGAATAAGAATAAGAATCATTTATTCCATTGATCTTTTTACAAAGAAATAGGACACGTCATATACATTACAAAATAATCATCCAAATACAATCAAGTTTCTGATACATCCAAATAATATAAAAAGTACAATTAATTAGGTATAGTAGCTTATTTTAATTAAAATTTACATCAATATTACACTTTATAAAGTCACTTATGCTGTAGAAAGGATTTTGAATTAGCCAATTATAAATTCTATTTTTGAAAATATTGTAATCAACAAATTTTGCACTATCAGGTAGTTTATTAAAAAAGCGAATTGAGTTAATTTTGAAAGAGTCACCCGTTTTAGCCAGTATATGAGGTTTCATGCTGAGCTTGCCTCCACCCCTAGTATTGTACTCATGAGTGTCAGATCTAAGGGGGAAAGAATGCAAGTTTGACTTGGTGTAGAGTAAAACTTGAAAAATGTACAAATTAATTACTGTTGGAATTTTTAATTGTATGAAAAGAGGTTTACAATGAGATAGGGATCTTGAATTAGCAATATTACGAACTGCCTTTTTTTGAATCGTCAAAATATCAGCTACATGAGAGGAATGTCCCCAAACTAGAATGCCATAGAGTATGTGGGACTGAAACAGACCAAAGTACGATAGTCTCAAATATTCTTGGTTAACAAATTTTTTTAATTTCCATAATAAGCAATCTACTCTTGATAACTTTTTGCAAACCGCCTCAATATGATTTGACCAACTTAATTTTGAATCAATGTGAAATCCTAAAAGCTTGACAGAATCTAGACTAATTTCCTGCTTGAGACTCAATGTCAAATATTGTGTCTTTTCAAGATTAGAATGTAGCTCATTTGAAGAAAACCAAGCAAGAGCCTGTTTTTCAGCTTCTGCAGTGACCTGTTTCAGGTACTCTAAGTTTTTGTGACTGGCTAGTAAAGTGGTGTCATCAGCATAAATTATTGAATGGATATTGAGATTTTGAGACAAGTCGTTTATGTATACTAAGAAAAAGAAAGGGCCTAAAACAGAACCCTGAGGGACACCGGTCTCTACAGGTTTCATAGCAGAACATTTATTTTTAACTGATACATACTGTTTTCTGTCATACAAATATGATTGAATAATTTTTATTGTGCCATCTTCAATGCCATAATATGATAATTTACGTAGTAATACATCAAAAGGAACACTATCAAAAGCTTTACTGAGATCACACAAAACTAGCGAAACCGACTCCTTATTTTCAAATGCATTTAGTGATAAATCTGTTAAGTTAAGTACTGCCGAGGTGGTAGACTTACCAGGACGGAAACCATGCTGGCATTCAGAAAATAAATGTTGGGACTCGAAAAAATAACTAAGTTGATTGTACATTAGAGATTCAAATATTTTAGAGAATATCGGAATAATAGAGATAGGTCTGTAATTTTGATGTAAATTTTTATCACTTTTTTTAAAAACTGGAATGACTTTAGATATTTTGAGCAATGAGGAAAAGTATCCTTCTGACATACATTTGTTAAAAATAAAAGCAAGTGGCTCACTTATTATATGGATGGTTTGTTTCAGTATTGTGTTAGACAGCCAATAATAATCCATTGAATTAGAGTTGGAGAATTTAGATACTACTTGTATTACATCAGTTGAGGAAATTTCTGACCATGTGAACATTGTTGTGTTTTTTGGAATACTACTCAAGAGTTCTACTGGATTATTGGGACCAAGATTAGTTCCTTTGCTTAACTGATTTATTGAGTCTATAAAGAAATTGTTAAATTCATCTGGATCTAAATTGACATCAGAACTGTGAGTTGGAGAAAACTCACTGCTTATAACTTTCCATGCAGCCTTGCAGGAATTTGAGGCATTGCTTATATACTGCTCCACATCAATTTTTTTAGCTTGCAGAAGTTCCCTTTGATATAATCTTTTTTGTTGCAAATAAACATTATAAGCAGCCTGACAGTGCTCTGAACCTTGCTTAAGCATATTCTTATAAATTGTGTACAGAGTTAACATTTTACTTTTTGTTTCTGCTAATGAAGGAGTATACCAATTAATAATTTTGGATTTTTTACATGCAACCTTATCAGTTACTTTAATCAAAGGAGAACAAAAATGCCATAAATTAACATACTTCTTAAAAAAATCATCAAATAACGTCTGAACATTAATTTTATTTTGTTTAAAATCATCAATCATTTGCCAATTTTGTTTTTCTAAATTATATTTAAATAAGTCAACATTTTCATTTTTTTGTAATCTAATATATGTACTGCCAGGTTGTATTTTACTTCTGAGAGAGTTGGTAGCAGAATACATATTAAATAAAAGTGGTACATGATCAGAAAAACAGTGATCTCCCAATGTGATGTCAAACAGATTCCTATTAAAATTGACAATTATGTTATCTATACAGGAGTTATTGCGAGTTGGTTGATTATTTGAAGGAAAGAGATTAAAAGATCGTAGAAGGTTTAAAAATCTTAGGGAAACTGTATTATTTTCACATCCAACACCCATTTCAATGTTGAAATCACCAGCAATAATAAGTTTTTGATCATGTTTTAGTATTTTTTTCAAGGCATGTTCAAATTCAGTCTGGAAAATATCAACATCACCATTTGGAGATCTGTAAATACTTAAAATAGTAACATTGTTATCGAGTAATTTAACACAACAACATTCAAAATTCATCTCAGAGTAAAACTGTGTAACATCAATAACTGAATATTTAATTGAATTTGAAATATAAATTCCTACACCACCATTTTTCCTGGCTTTTCTACAGACTACAGTTGCAGGAATAAAATTTTTAGGAATAAAAACATTAACATTATTTTCTTGTAACCAATGCTCAGAGATACACATTAAGTTGACATTCTTATCAATGCATAAATCTTCCAACTCTAAAATTTTGTTTCTAATACAACATACATTAACTTGCATTAGCCTAAAAAACACACTTTGCTCTGCTTTTCACTCTCACTTTGTTGACCACTTATCACTGGCGATATGGGCAGGCAGTCTTGAAGTGCAGCAGCATAGCTCTCCAGGTGGTGACCCCTCACCTTGGGTGTCGAAGAGTGGCAAGTATCTGTATCGCTTGTCTGGTCACGTGCAGTTGTGGAAGATGGAACCGGGGAATAGTTGTCTGCTGGTAAAGTGATATTTGCTCTAGTTGAGGTAGCCGGGCCGTTTGTGGTGTTGAGTAGGGTGTTAGTTGAAGTCTGTGCAGGAGCCAATTCATTTACTAGCTTATGAAGTTCACTTGTAAAATCTCTGTGTGACAAATCATTTCTTAATTTTCTAAAAGACTTTTGAAAGTAAGAAACTATAGTAATTTTTGCTAGAGTATGCTTTTGAAATTTAATTATATTGGATATAAAGTCTTTTGGAAGCACATTGTCTCTCACACACCCAATGGGAGAGCATATTAAGTGTTTCAGGTTTCTCTTTTTGAAGTCTTGTGTTAAGTGCTCAAATGCGGTTTCATAGTCCTGGCGGGTGGGCTTGCCATAATACTTGTCTTTAGTAACAAGACTGTACACAAGAGCTCCAGATTGACTTTCCTGCAGTGTAAGGTGGTCTGTGATGCACTGGTCAGCAGAAGGCTTCTTGAAGTACTTAGCAAACACAACTGCTACACCTGCCGTCATACGTCGCTCATCATTAAAGTCGCCAGAAATGCTGTGGGCAAATCCAACAGATCTGTCTTCTTGAAACTGCTCAATGACAGAAGACATGTGTGTCTCAATAATCCTTATCTTTGCGTTGCTTACTGTACTGTCCACAGTAGTGCTGGGAGGGCGTGATTTTTCTTTGTTTTTTCCAAAAAGCTGTTTAAGTTTGAAATAAATTTGTTTCGCTAATTTGTACTTGCCTGTGCTATTCAAGTGAAGACCTTTACGGGTGAAGTGATTTCTGCTCAAAATATCCAAATCAACCAGGTGTACCTTATTAATTCTATCCACTAGCTCTCTTATGTAGTTGTTAGCAAGACAAATTTCATCATGAACTTCATGCTTCTTGCCTACATCAAATCTTGGTGGTACTGTAGTTACAATGAGAGTTTTATTTTAACTAATACTCTTGATTTTCTCTTCTAAGGCTGAGTATATAGGAGAGAGATCTTTCCGCAGTGCATCATTAGTTCCTGCAATGAGGACAATTACATCATCATTGGACTTTGAAAGCCGCGCTGTTTCTGCCACTTGATTAATGCATGCATTCGGCATAACTGTTCCAACAGCAGTGATCTCATCCTGATTAATTTGGTTAAGTTTGTAGCCTACATTTCTACTTTGGCTATCACCATACACAGTCACTTTAACTTTATTTGAAAACACCTTTTCAACTTTATCTTTGTTATGTTGAGGTTTTTTTTATCTGAGGTTTTTTATTTAGGCTAACATACTGATTATTTGCCTTTGATAGACTAGGAACATTTTGAGACAAGGTATCGAATTTGTTCTCGGTTACAATGGGACTGGATCTAATGAAAACTTTAGACTAGTGATGTAAAATACCCAGGTATTTAAAACTCAGGGTAAATACCCTGGGTATTTACCCGGGTAAATACCCAAAATCCATAAATACCCGGGTATTTTGGGTATTTATGAAATCAATTGAAATTCATTTTATCCACCCCTAAATATGTTATTGTTATCATTACATGATAAATTAGGATAGTCTATAACACCTTTTACAGTAACTTGAAGCTTTGCTAGTACCTTTTATTTAAAGATTTAGCACTTTTTTATGAAATCAAGACAACACCTCATCAAAAAATAGTGAACCTAAACCTACTTCTACTGTTATTAAATTATGATAGTTAACAAAATTTGTATTTTGTTAAATGGCTTGGAAGGCTAGACAGACCCAAGGCCTGATTGATATAGGCAGAATGGCAGAATACTGAAAGTACAGTAGACTCCCTCTTATCCAGACTCCTCGGGACCGAGGCTAGTCCAGATAACGGTTTTTCTGGTTAAACCGACGTCCCCAAAAACTTGTTAAAACGGAAACCGTGTACCGGTACTGTCCTATTCGACTTTAATTTAGGAGAGCATTGTATTTAGATACGTGATCACTGGTCTCAAATCTTTCCCACGAGAACAGTCGTTTCAGTACCGCTCACTTCTTGCCAATCTAGTCAGGTTAAACCAATGGGCTGGTAAAAATTGTCCAGTTAAAAGGTGTCTGGATAAGAGGGAGTCTACATTAAACTCTTCTGTGTTACCGCTTAGTTGGGAACAATAATATATTTGGATAAACCTACTAAAAAATTTATCTCCTGTTTTTGGTCTAACTTTGATATATCTTTTTGAAAGATTTATTGTGCTATAGATTCAAATTTGTTGTATCACAAGTTTATGAAATTAGTTTTATTTTTATTTTGATACCAACAAAAGATTTAGAACAAAAATATTATTAAATCCTGCCATCCTACAGTTTGAATTTTAATTATTTTCTTAAGTGGTTTACACATAGGCCACTACTAGGTTAAATTTTCCTGTCTTTCTAAATAATAATTATTATTTTACAAATTATTTTTCTTCACTTTAAATAAAATAAATTCATCTATCTATCATAGAAATTAAAAAATCATAAGTAGTCAGGACCAGTGCAACCATGCGACAAGGGTATTTATGCCGATTATGCTTTATGCTCAGACCTGGGTATTTATGGTGATCATACCGAGAAGTAAAATGCTAGTAGTGACCATATTAAATTTTGTTTAACACATTTTATTATCATTTTGCTATCTTTACAAGGTAATAATTGCAAAAAAACATCTCAATCTTCTCTAACTTTAATACAAATGATAAATACCCAGTTTTTGGGTATTTACCCGGGCCTGGGGTAAATACCCAGGTAAATACCCAATTTATATTTACCTACCCACTGGGTATTTACCCGGCCCACATCACTACTTTAGACTTAAATGTTTTTTGTCTTTTTTTTTTGTCCATTTTTGTTTGTTTAGGTTGACATTCTCAGGATTAGGTGCTACAACAAGTGGTGGTACATGGTTTGCGTTAGGGTTTTGCTGGGTCAAGTTACTCTTTATTTCCTTTTTTAATAGAAGCTGTGTTAATGTATCTCTATTTATCCTTGTATATTGGTCTTTGTAGATTATAAGTGCTAGCTGTGCTCGTTTTGTCAAGATATCCGATTCTGTAAATGTTGGAACTGATAAATCTGTTTCCAGTTTATAGTTGGAGGATGCAAAAAGCCCAGCATTAATTTTTGAAGATATGCACTCAGCAGTCAGGAGCATGTGTATTCCACAATCTACACTGTTGGTTTGTCGAGCTGTCCTTACATAAGCCAAGGAATGATTTGCGTCGGCATTGTAAAATGTAGCCAGCCTTTCGTATATACACTTAGCATGCAGGTGGTTAAGATTTTCTAGTGAGTCAAAATGATAAAATTTGTCTTGATCCTTATCCCACAGAAGAAGGCTCCAGTGTGTCCCTGATCCCCCAATGCTCTGAACCTTAGAAGAATCATTTACAGGGATGAAGACAAACTTTTTATTTTCCAGATTTTGGGGTAAAAGAATTTCCCCAAAATTATCAAGGGTTTTAATAGCTAGTGTTAATACTGGACTGATGAAATGTACATCCTTGTGTGCAATATTGTTGTTGAAGATGTCAAAAACAATTTGAACTGTGTCATCTGTTACCCACTTAGACTCCAATAAAGCCAGAGAAATGTCCTTTTTATTCAGCTTATTTTCTTGTGGATTGGAATTTAGGATTGATTTCTTGAGGCTAGAACCCTTTGGTGAAATGGGAGTTTCATCCGCTTGTGTATTAATTGTCTCGGGTGTTGTCTCAGTTACACTAGGTGTAATGCCATCATACGGTACCAGTATTTCATCACTATTCTCTGTGGAGGATTGTTTGGCAGAGTGTATGGACTCACATGAGCTAGACAGATTCACTATAGTAACTGACGAGGAATTACTTTTATTTATTAAAGAGTTGTTCTTGTTCAGACTTAGTTCAATTTCCTTCATAGCTACTAAGAAATGTTCTTTATTTTTAAGCTTTGGAGTCCCATATCTGGTTTTATTCTCCCTGTATAAACATACATCTATTTCTTTTGCACATCCTTCCTCACCTGTTCCATAGAAAGTAACATTGTATCGAGGGATTTTGTATTTACAGTCAATACCTTTTACTATGGCTGGCCAATGGTAAATGAACGGTAGAAATGAATCACTGACTTTTTCAAGTAAATTTTAGAGGTATGTACATAATTGCTCCTGTAATTAGTTTTGTGTCAATTATATGTGTGTGTGTTTGTGTGTGTATTTATAAATACAGTAGGCCTAATATTAACGTTGCCGGATTGAATTGAAATTTGTATGTTTTTTTTTGTTTTTTGTTTTTTTTTTAGAGTGAAGTGTGCAGTACTGTGGTATAGAAGAGTCAGGTTGCCTTTCTATCTAGATAGTACAGTTAAGGTATAGGTATGTAAGAGCAAGCTTTGGACACGGTACTTTCGTTGTTACTTAAATACAGTATATTTTAAGAGAAAAAACTGTAAAACCATGCATTGATGATGAATATGAGTTTTTTTTTCAAATAACATAATAATTTATTGTTTTTACATTATTTTACAAGTTCACATAGCTGCTTGTTTTAACCCTTTGAGGTCAAATTTTTGCCCCATTTTTCAGCGAGTATAGTTTGCCATTCCAGTAGTCAGGAAAATGGTGTTTGGCGACTTATACTCGGGGTTAACCGACCTGTTAGGGTATTATCTGACCTAGGCCCGGTCCAAAGAGGGACGGTAAGAGAGGAAGAACTTTATAAAGAATATAATAAAACACAATAAAATAAAAAGAGAATATACTGAAATTGTCTTTCTGCAAATGGCAAAACTCAAGCCACAAATCTAGTCTGACTTAACATAAGTTATACAGAGCAGACCATCTTCAAAGAATATATTTAAGATAGCACTGATTCACTATGTGCCTGTTTGTTTCACAACTATATTGGGATGAGTATCTCCAAGATATTGACCAAAAGACTCCTGGAAAGTTTCAGGGATTTTTAAGATTCGCTATGGTTTTGTGATTACATTGATGGATGACAGTTTTATTGCCAAGAGTACACAGAATGTGACCCATTTTAAGGTTTAGTCACAAAATTCACAGCTAAATCCAGGTTTTCTAAATTGGAAAGCTCATTTGCGGTTTTTAAAGATTCCCACTGTTGAGTGGATACCCTCATCATCTATTTGATTCTTTGAGTCTTAGTATTAAGAAAATATATGATTCTACAGCTTTTGTCTTTTAGGTTTAGGTGTAAAATCTAAGATAAGAAACAAACTAACTGAAACATAAGCCAACGACTAAAGTGATTTTTTCTGAATTGGACTAAAAACATTCAAACTAAGAAAGAACGTAAATAATTAAACACACAATACCTGTAAAAGATGCTGTGTTTGCCCCAGCTGATGAAAACTTCAATGTTGTCAGCTGTGACTTCATACAGTTGATGTCTGATTGTAGTTCAATGGTTTTCATCTTAAGCTCCTCTAACACTTGATGAGTTTGTTGAAGTTTGTCTATATTATGTTAAAAACATTATTCTGGTTTTAATGATTATCACTGAGAACATATACTCAGAATCCTGAGCAATTTATTTTGTTGTTTTGATTAATGGTTTTGGTTATGTACCTTAAATTTCAATTCCCTCTTTAACAGTTTACATAGATTTTGTAAATCAAAGGTTGATAATAATCTCCTTTATTACTTGTGTCTTTTTTATGTTTAAACACAATTACAAATTTAATTGCTTCACTAAAACTGTTATTTGGCGTTTAAAAGAATAGTTCCCAAAACCTGTGAATGTTTACAAACTTTTTAAACATTTTGATAAATCTGGGTTATCAAGATGCACATTTTACTTATTTGGTGATATCTATAAACACAAATAGCTTAAGATGTTAAAAATAGTCAAAACCTTGTAAATAAGTGGTACTTGGTTAAGTGATCCAAATTTTAAAAAAGAAGAATTTAAAAAATGCTGGATTTTAGAGCTTCGCATGGATTAATTTAGAGGTTTTATTTATTTATAATATATTTTATTTATCTTTCAAGTGATTTGGCATTAAACGTTGTATTTCTCCCACTGTGCATTTTTTTACTGATTTCCTGAGACATGTGTTCTCTTATCTGACCCTTATTGTTATACAGGGTGTTTGTGAACTCTCTCGAAAAAATTCACAGGGTTATTTCTTGGGTTAATACATGAATATTTTACATTATACTGTAAACATGGGTCGCCAGAGCCTTGTTTTCCGTCTGTCTGTTTGTATGTGTTTTTCATAAAACACCTTATAACTCGAGTTTGAATCGAGGTACAAACTTTAAATTTGACACACTTTTTGTATTTTAACGTGGTACACAAACATGCAAAATTTCATTTCGATGACTATAGCCGTTTCAAAATGGCGGCCATCTAAAATCTTTGACCTCGAATTACATTACAAAACCACTAGAGTTACAAAAAAACACAAAATGTGTGAAATTTTATGCCAAATCAAATGACACCTAGATCTTAAAGATCGGACAACAAACAGCTGAGTTATTAATTTTTTAAATAGTTAATAATTTCTTTACTGGCTTTTAATTGTTATTGTTTATTCTATTGTTATTAAAGATTTTAGATGGCCGCCATTTTGAAACGGCTATAGTCAACAAAATGAAATTTTGCATGTTTGTGTAAAACGTTAAAATACACAAGTGTATCAAATTTAAAGTTTGTACCTCGATTCAAACTCGAGTTATAAAGTTATTTATAAAAAATACATACAGACGGACAGACGGAAAACGAGGCTCTGGCGACCCATGTTTATAAAGTAAAATATTCATGTATTAACCCAAGGAATAATCTTGTGAATTTTTTCGAGAGAGTTCACAAACACCCTGTATAACCTTTTCAGTGTTTCACTTTAATGGTTCTTAATTTGAGAGATAAGGTTTTTACTTTAACACAGTTTGGGATGATGGAATGAGAGTTTTGATGAATTTATATATACAGTTTCACATTACATTTACAAAACAATGGTTGATAGTTTAGATACACAGTTAGAGTCTCAATTATCCAATTTAAGAGTCATTAAATTGATAGTTGATCTCTATTGTAAAAAATATTTTATATTTTAAGATTGTGTTCCATTGAACTATTTTTTTCTGTTACAAAGTCATTACTGTATCACAAATGAAATAAAGATAACTGATAAAGTAAAAACATTTTTTCTCTCTCTCTCAGCAAAATATAGAATGAAGCGGTACTCATCTACTCAGGTACAGTGACAACACGGGTATGAGGAATGGACTAACTGTGTGTTATGCAGTATCAAAACAATCAGGAAGTACAGTAGTACAGTAAAGTGCAAGGACTTAAAGCCAAGCTTGTGTATTCCGAGTACAGACAGGGGTAGAGTCATACCACAAGATTTTACAGTACTGTATTTGATCATTCACAGAGAGGCTTGGACAACACGGAAGATTGGATAATCGAGACTCCATAGTATTGATGTAGCTACAGTTAACTCTTCAAATAATATCTTACCCAGTTTATGATGCAGATTTTCCAGTTTGACAATGAGTAAATCGTCTGTAAAGGAAAATACTGTAATCAGCAGAATATAAAATCAAATCAGTTTTATTTCCACAATATATACAAAAATTACAATTTTTCAAAAAAATTAAATACGAATATATTTAGTCTTGAAGCATTATACAGTACATTGTTTACGTAAAATAATTCAAGTAAAATTAAATTTATAAAGTTATTAATAGTATAATTTTATATACTAGTTGAAATATGCTTGTTCCGGCTAGAATAATAGCTAATGTAATAGGTAATGGAAATGAGTCTACATAGACCTCAGTGGTCTGTGCGTAGACTAGAGTTGTTAAAAATTATATTTTTTGAGCTAATTTGCAATTGAAGAAAAAGTTTAAAATTAAATAAAAATTTACTATGAACTATGGGAACGTGATTTAAAAATTATATACAAAATGGGAGTAAATATTCATTTAAATTTTTATCAACAGAATTGTTTAACGGGGAAGCCAATAAATAAAATGGAAAAGAATTTAAATTATGATTACAAAGACAGCTAACTTAATACAGAAGCATTGAATAATCTAGAAAATGAAAAGGTTAACATAAAGCAGTGTCTATACTTGACTCTTGTTCAACATTCTGTTGTAGCATACCTGATTAGTAGAGTTTCCTTTACATTGTGTACAAGAATGTTATCTGATTAAGTCGATTTACAAAATATTGAAAATAATGAAAATCTTGATTTGAAATTGACTGTCATAGTAAATTTCCTGGCAATAACAAATCATTAACCAAAACTTAACATAACTTCTAACTACAGTAGAACCCCTCAATAAGGCCTCTTCGGGACTGAGTCTAGGCCTAAAAATGATTTGGCCCGATTAGCCAGCCAATTTAAAAGGGATATTCCACCCCAATTAAGGTTAAAGATTTCATAAATTCCATATAAAAGACACTACAATATCACTTTATGTTATTTGTTGGGAATGAACACATGTTATTCAAGCCACAAACCCAACTAATTTACAGCACTATTGTACACACACAGTAAAATGACAGATAGATAAGTGGATTTTCTGTCTAATAGGTTGTATGTGCTACATTGGATAAAGTTGAACCATGGGATACTTAAAATTACAAATTTGGGAAAGTACTTAAATTGAATTCTCGTCAGTTATCAAAAGTACTGTTCTTTAATTTAAAGACATGTTTGGCTAGAACGAAGAATGTAAGGTCGTAAGTGAACAAATGTTAGGGGTTCTACCATATCAAGGATAAAACGATATGCCGGATGGTGATTAATACTTATGATTTTAATACACTTATGAAACATAGATATATGCTTACACTTCAAATCAGAGTTAAACGTGAAGAATGAAGTGTGGCCAAAAACATTTGCTTGCCCTTTTACAACCTGCAACATTTTCAATTAACAATTACTAAGGTTATAAAATTTGATACTTGATGTTGAACTTCAAACTAACACTTAAAACATACATAATTGGCAATCCTGAAAAGTTCATCAAAATTTAACAGGGTGTCCACAGAAATTTTGTCATCACTTTCCATGACTATCCATGACCATTAACCATTGATTTCCATGACTCACGAACTAAACTCAAAAATTATAATATACCGTACACACACGAATAATACTGCCTAGACAAGTTATTTCACAGAAAATATTGAAATATGTATAAACAGATAACAATGGAGTGCAATAGGTACAACAAACTCAAAACCCATAAACTAAGACAACTGTATAAATTGAAATTGTCGTACATTTGTTAAGAATTCGGAAAAATGCTACAATAGTCGTGGTTACGGCCGACTAGAGCATTGAAAGGTCCCCTGAAATCCATCCATCATTGGGAATTTCCATGACTTTTTGCCTATTTCCATGACTTTCAATGACCATAATTTTTTTCCATGACTTTCCAGAATGTGGACACCCTGTTTAACATTGTACGCCGACACAAAATTAACAGAACACTTCTAATACTTAGAGTAAACTATCACTATGATCAGACACTCACTCACAGACCGTTCTACCTTAGAATAAGCATGTTTTGCAAAATATAGAAATACAAGAAGGCGTGCCAGACCGTGCCGCTTTGTCCTAAAGAAATTCTGCCTGACTTCTATACATGTAGTTAAATGAAGATGCACACCTCCAGTCGAGGTCAAATAATTAAGCGGTTCTACTTGCCTGAGTGTGTTATAAGTAACGAACTATTGTGGGTGCAGAAATCTGATTCAGAGCTTTCTGTGACTGTTAAGTCACCTTCGTTCTATACAAACACGTAAACATGTAGCTGTATGTTGTTGGAAGCACACGTGCTTTTCTTCTTTCAACAACTGATTTCCAGGGAAGTTAAACCTTACTAGGCCTACATTATATGACTGACTCATAAAACTATGTTATCTAGCTTTATAGTGATGTTGGACTCCGGATTGCCAAATAATAATAAAAAGGTTTAAATACCTGCTATTAGGCAATCCACTCAATTGCAGTCGCAACTAGTTTCGGATCATATATTGAAAATTGATCCATCATAAAACATTCAACAACAAAATATATATTTTAAATAAAGACCCCACTTTAAATTACAGCAAATTAATAAATAGAGCCATTTTCTGTAAGTAAAAATCTATTATCAAAAAACGTCTGTATCTTTTATACTTATAGATAGATATGTTGATTTGTGAGTTATATGTATGAGTAGGCTTCCTATTTACCCATCCCTGCTGACCAACTGCACACAAAGCTACAAGAACTTCACGATTTGCTGTGTTATCTTCAACATCGTGATCGGAGGAAGAGACTTTGTCAAACTCAATGAAAACTGGGGAAACGCAGCTGGGGGCAAAGGCTTTTAAGAAGAGAACTTCAGGCTGCAGTACACTCAATCAATGGCAAAAGCAGTCCAACGTCATCGTCAACCAAAGTCGATTCATCATCAATGCTGTCAAGGAACGCTGGATGGACTACTGACTATAGACACCGAAGTGAGACATCGCAGAAGACATGGCTGAGGTCAAACATCTGAAGACCAACGACTGTTCGAGGAGGCTTTATCGACGCAACTGCTGAGGAAGTAATCAAACAGTTGGTCAGTTCTTACCCTCCTAAACCTTATTTTAATTTTGTTTAGGTACAATTTTTAAAGATTTTTATCAGTTTTTGTTATTAAATTTTTTTTTTTTTGTGGATGTATCTATGTAGTTGAGACGCTGGGGACATCGTCTGGAGGAAATGGGGGTATGTAATAGGAGGGTCAAATATTGCAAAGAGGAAGTGTTTGGCAATGTTGTGTGAGTAGGCTGGTAGTGTTGTTAAACAATAACTTGTTGTGCTGACCTACTGAAGGCTGTTGCTTTAAGTAGGCCAGTGCACTTGATCAAGGGGTCAGTTTTGTGTGGTGCGCCAGAGGACGGGATCCTGCTGGGGGAGCTGGAGCCCAAGGCCCTTGGCCTTGGGTCCAGGTAAGAAAATGTTAAGGGTTTTCCAAATTGGGGTTTAGAGTCTTTTCCAAATGGGGGGTTTCAGTTTCTAATTATTTTGTTTAGACAGTTCCAGTCTACTCTACCTTTTTTGATTGTTGGTTTAGCTTTGTGTTCTTTGTGTTGTTTTGAGTAATTAATAAAGTTGGGTTTTGTAAGCGAGTGCTGAGTTTCATTCCTGAGCTACGTCACCCAAAGTAGCGGTAGGTATTCCAAGAGGAATACGTACCGTTACAATATTGCCTCATTGAAGGTAACTAATCTACAAGCCCCCATTCTCAGAGGCCTCCTAAAAAAAAAAATACCTCCATCGCAGCAAACCTGCAGACTAAGTGAATTTCCATTTGCCTGCCTTGATTTTAGGTTTGCTGCTACAGGGAGGCTAATAAAGTGTTTTTTTTTGTTTTTTTTAAGTAAAATATTAGTACCTTAGCATAAAATAAATAAATTTGCCAAGTTTGAGCAAAATATGTACATAAACAAGTAAACTTAAACATTTTACAATATTCTCCATACGAATAACATGGGAATTTCAAATTTTCAATAATAACCAATAACCATAAAGCAATAACCATAAAAAAAACACTTTGGTTTACTAAATTATTTGTTTTTTAAGCTCTTTAAAATGGTTTAGAGACATTGGGAAATTTTGTGTTTTGAGGGTCAAAAATGATAAATACCCCCGCCGCAGCAAACTTGCCGACTAAGCGAATTTCCATTTGTCTGAATTGATTTTCAATTAAATATATTTTAATAACATTAGGTTTGACGAGTACCTAGGTTTGCTGCTACAAGAAACCTAATAAAGTGTGTTTTTGAGTAAAATATTGATAGCTTAGTACAAAATAAATAAATTTGCCAAGTTTGATCAAAATATATCCATAAACAAGCAAATTACAACATTTGACAATATTCTCCATAAGAATAACATGGGAATTTTAAATTTACAATTTTTTAAATTTTCTCCGTTACTAATAATCGAACAAAAATACTTTTATATACTAAATTATTTGTTTTTTAAGGTCTTTAAAAAGGTCTAAAAAGAAATTGGGAAATTTTGTGTTTTGAGGGTCAAAAGTGAGAAAAACCAATTTTTACCCCATAAAACCCCCCCTAAAGCCCCGTTCCCATGGTCCGATCATGCTGGTTCGCGAACTCATTCAAGTTTATCTCGCTTTACACCTTTAAACCAAATTTCATCAAAATCGGACCAAAATTACTCAAGTTATCGCGTTCACGGACGTATATATATATATATAAATCTATATATATATATATATATATATACATATATAAAAATTTGAACGAATGGTGTTTTTGGCCTCTGGGGACATCAAAATGAAAAAATAAATCGGTCCCAGGTCTAGGTCTTACCGTGCTACCTACGGTAATAGCTACTTCCCTATAGGGAAATTCGCTAAAACCTATTTTTACCCCATAAAACCCCCCGTAAAACCCTGTTCCCATGGTCCGATCATGCTGGTTCGCGAACTCATTCAAGTTTATCCTGCCTTACACCTTCAAACCAAATTTCATCAAAATCGGACAAGTTATCGCGTTCACGGACTTGTATAAAAATTTGAACGAATAGTGTTTTTGGCCTCTAGTGACATCAAAATGAAAAAGCATATCGGTCCCGGCTCCAGGTCTTACCGTGCCACCTACGGTAATAGGGAAATTCGCTAAAACCCGATGTCCCGATCAGGCCCCTTGTGAATTTCATGCAAATTCCAGCTTACAAAATAGCTAAGAAGTTAGATAAAATAATAAAAGATCAAATATTGTTGGAAAATAGTCGTAGCACAAAAATAGTCTAGAGATTGTTGATAAAATTAAGAACCATGCTGTTAAAGATAACTACAAATCGGCATAGTTTGACATCTTCAATTTGTATACCAATTTGCATACAGGAAACAATCACTTTACTGCAAAAGAACCTCGTAAAAATCTCAAAAACCTATCAAGAGAGGCAGTAAATGAGTTGGTTTCGCTCACTAGGTTAATATTAAATCAAAATTACTTCAGATTCAATAACGATTATTACTCCCAGAACGAAGGAATGGCAATGTGTCCCCCCTCTCTAGTATTTTAGCCGAAATATTTCTCAACGATCTAGGAAATAAACATTTGCTCTCTCATTTTAATCGTTACAAAGAAAATATACTGTTGTCCAGACCGTTCTTTCTGCCAAGTACCTTGGGGTTATGGTGGACAGCAAGCTTAGCTGGCGGGATCAGATTTTCCGTACGGGGGACAAGGCCGCTAGGGTGGTCTCTTCTCTTAGCCGGTTGATGGCCAATGTCGGAGGGCCTCGGTCCAGCCGTAGAAGGCTGTTAATGTCTTCTGTCCAGTCCGTACTCTTGTACGGTGCTGAGGTATGGGCAGACGCTCTCAATAAGGAGGTATATAGGATGAGGCTCGCCCGAGTGCAGCGTTAGGCAGCACTAAGAGTTGTATCCGCCTAACAGTGTCCGAACCCGCCGTCCTGGTGGTTGCTGGAGTCATCCCCATCAAACTTTTGGCGGCGGAGAGAAAGGCAATTTATCAGCGCCGTGGGGAGGACCAGGCACGAACAGAGGAACGCACCCGCACCTACCAGCTGTGGCAGGAGAGCTGGGAACAGGAGACTCGGGGATGCTGGACCAGGCGACTGATACAGCAAGTCCAACCTTGGGTTAATCGGCGGTGCGGAGAGGTGGACTTCTACCTCACCCAATTTCTGAGGGGTCACGGCTTTTTCCGGTCGTACCTGTTCAGGATGGGCAAGGCCATGTCACCCGTTTGCATATACTGCCCAGGCATTCCCGATGACGTGGAACATACCTTTTTCCACTGCCCCGCCTGGAGGCTCAACAGTTAGTAGGACTGCTGTCAGTGGACACGGTCATACCAATGATGACGGAGGGTGAGGACAATTGGACCTGTAAGAGCCCTGAGGGCTTAGGTCACATGTTGGCCTGACTTGAAGTAATGTGACAAACAATTCCAGGTCTGTGTCCAACAGAGTAGAGGGGGTTTTTTAGTGAGTAGTCTGTGATAGATTCAGGAGTCTCACACTACAGGCTGGCTACCTGTGTACGTAAAAGCATTTTCCCTCCTCTCCCTAAAAAAAAAGTAAACACAGGGTTGCCACCATAGTGGGACGAAAAAATGCATGCAGAATTCATGGTTTTCATTGGTAAATAAGAAATAAAATTCATGGTTGATGAGCTCCTATAATTTCAACGCAAATATAAGTTTTGCTGATTTCAGAAAGGTGCATTTAAGAGGCAAGTTTCTTTGAGAGTTAGTATCGAACAACTTTTCATACATAAAAAGCCGTAAAATGCAAGTCGCACATCTAACAACCACACACTTTAAAGGGAGATCTAAGTATGAGGAGCTTTCGGGAAACATATTACAGTAGTTTATTAAAAATCCCTTTCCTAAAGACACAGAGCTCAATTAAAGTGTTTTATTTAATCAAATTTGAAATGCCATACAGGTTATTGCAAATACTTATGGATCTTCGTTAAAATAAGCAATAAGAACAATTGAGCTTTACCTCTAGTCCATTGTAAGTGTGTAACTATTTTTTAGAGTAGATTTAAAGAACCACATTTTTCACTTCTGTATTCTTACCTCATTGCGAAGCATAGGCAAAGCAACTAGTTTAATATAAAATATCCTTTTGTTTAGAATTTTACCTTGCAGTTTGTTGTTTGAATTGTGCTTTTAATTATGAATGATTTGGTGTAGGCCTGGCCTCAAAATAGAGTACCTAGTAATGTAGCCAACTGGATTAAAACATGAAATAACTAAACATATATTAATTAACGGTCATAGTGAATTTGAAATTAGTGAAATCATAGTTATTGGAATACTATTGCCGTTTAAATTTGTAATTTGTGTGTATGGCTTTATCTGGCTGTGATCCTTATCAAGCTCAACATAAAAAACAGAAAAGAATAATAAACTCAATGAATGATGAAAAACTAACTGTTGCTCTGCAGCAGTACCCCAATCTTTATGGCGTCCCCAAATATAATGACAACAACGACAAGATGGCAATGCTCTGTAATACAAGCACTGCTTCTTTGCAAGCTCAAAAAGAAACAAGAAAATTTGAACCATAAAAATTGATTTTTGCAATGGAAGAACTAATAAAAATATGCTCTTCAATATGGTGTTCAAGTATGGCGTTGAGTTTGAGTTTCTAAGAATAGTGCCAGTTATTTTATTTGAGTCTATGCTTCAGACACTGGAGGAGAAGTTTTTCCCTGTTTTGGATGGATCACACAAGTCCCGGCTGGACTGAAGATGTGGCCAAGCATCTTCAGAGAATACGGACTACCTGCGTCGCCAGATGGAAGAGTCCGAGGCACTTATCACTGAAAAACTGGGAGATCGGGTGACCGACTCATTTCCTGTTTGTCTTCGTGGAACGTTTAGGACTTACTCAATGAACTGTGTTGATTGCTGATTGAACTTTTAATTTATATTAAGTAAGCTGACAAACCTTGTATGGTTTTTGCACCCATTGTAAACATGCATGTATACATTTTTTGGTTCAATAAATAAACTGATTGATTGATTGCTTGTCTCTGGAGGAAGACCCAAAAGCAAGAAGGAGCTCTGGACCTTCTGATTTATGTATGATGTGATGTTATTGAACCAATCATCAAAGCTGCTGAAGAAGATCCATGGTGTTGACGACACTTCCAAGACAAGCTTGGTGACATTACACAGTTGAAGAAAAACATTCAAGAAGTTGAGAACATGCTGATGTTAAGCAACAAGACTAACCTCATACAAGATCAGAGAGTTCCCTCTCAACTGCTTGATAAAAAAGCTAAGGAACCTCACTGCGACACCTTGCCACTTGGTCTTAAATGAGGGGGGCTCTTAAAAGCTTAAATTGGGTATTGATTATAATCACAGAAACCTTGGCTAAGCCCTAATTGGTCATGGTCCCAAGTCATCATATATAGCATCCAAACTATGGTTTTACCGAATCATATGCCCCTGAGGATTTGAAAAATGGACCAAACCCGTTCCTTATATCAGACCTGGAATTGATCAAAAGCAAGGATCCAAGTACCGGTAATGAAGAAGTTGATGAAAGTATTTGAATCCTCTGTTTCCCCTACCCCATCACAGATGAGTACCAGTACATAGTCCTCACTATCAGACGGGAGCAAACAAGGGATTCCCGAGATACAACAACAATTTGTCTGAACCTACACTCTCCCTGGCATCTCATGACAGTGTTGTGGATCGACTCAAAAGTATTGAAATGAAATGTAATGAATGAATAAAATGAAAAAGTGCTTTTATTTACAAAATAAATGTACAACAATAGATTTTTTCAGCACTAAATACAACATTGAACATAAAGACCATCTGCTGCAGCTGGCGTACCTGGTTAGCACTACTTTCTTTCACCAAACATTTTCTTTTTAGATGCCCTTTCAATTGATAGGTCACAAGGGATATCTCGCAATTTCAAAATTTTAAGTTAAGGGTAGGGAGAGAAAGGGGGTGAAATATCTCACAAATTTATGAGCCGATTTTAAATATTTTTTTCACCAAAAATTTTCTTTTTTCATGCTCTTTCATTTGATGTGTCACAAGGGGTACCTTGCTATTTAAAAAAATTAAGTTGGGACAGGGGTAAAGGGGGGAATGTGAATGTAATGTTGAATTCAAAACAATTGGGCCCCCTACGTCAATAGATGATTCCAGTAAACTGCATATTCCTATCTATTGCGGTTTTACATGAAATAAAGATGCAAGTAAAAAAAAAAACCTTTCTTTTATTTTATAGGCCTACATAATAAATTATTACAATGCATCAGGTAATGGACCCACCTTTAACCAAAAGATGGCAGCTATTATAGCAGCAAATATCCATGGTAACCCAATTGAGCTCTGAAATTGAAAAAAGATTCTTTAAGTTAACAGATCAATAAAAATAGGTAATACAGTAGAACCTAGCTAATCCAACCATGGATGGTCCGACTCCTCGCTTGGTCCGACCGTGCCGCCGACACAATAGCCTTCCGCTAGTCCGACCTTGGCGAGGGTTCCTCCTCGCTTAGACCAACCATATCCTTATCGGCGGTATGTTTACTTATCCGGTCGTCGCTCCCTTCAAGTCGATGCTTGTCGATGACTCATCACTGGAAATGTAAGTCAGTAGGCTGTGGACTATTGGTGCAGTACTGTACGTCCGATCAATTGTGCAACAGTAAACTCAATCCGCGTGTGTTGTGGTATACCGTGTGTGTACTATAGGCCTACTGTGTCTGCGTTTTTGTAGTTTGTATTATTGTTTATTTATTGACTGTATACAGTAGTGTATTGAACTACATTATGTCAACTAAAAAACGTAAACATGTCATATCACGCTCTCATTAGCGGAGAAGCTGAAAGTACTTGAAAGATTAGACAAAGGTGAGTCTGTTCAAAAAATTGCAAGTGAGATAGGATTTGGCATAACAACAATTAAGGACTGGAGAAAGAACAGGAAACAACTTGAAATTCATACAATGACAGTTGATAGTGATAAAGGACTAAAAATTTGAAAAACTTTGAAGAAGCCTAAATGTGAAATTTAAGGAAAGAAGTAAAAGAACTCTATTATCTGGGCCTATCATAAAAGAAAAAACACTAGTTTTGCATAAGAAAATGGGAGGGGACAATGACAAGTTTACAGCAAGTAAGGTTAGTTACATCGTTGGAAGAAAGGACATGGGATTCGTAACGTAATCATTTCTGGCGAGAAACTGTCTGCTGATGAAACAGCCTCTAACAAATTCATTCCTAAGTTTGAAAACATAGTTTGAGAACATAATTTGACACCTGGGCCCTGTTTCATAAAACTACTAGTCTAGTATTTACTAGTCCATTGACTAGTAATACTAGTGTATTTTACAAGTCTACGTTTCAAAAACCTACTAGTGTAAAATACTAGTTACTAGTGTAGGGACTAGTATTACTAGTGGTTTTTACTAGTGTAGGCAGCAATGTGTTTCATAAAGTTTTACTCTTGTAAATTACACTGGTAAATACTTGCCATTTTCTAACAACCTCTCTACACCCGTATTATTTGAAGTAGACTAGTATTTTTGCCAAGATAGTTATTTCATACTCAAAAAATTTAAGAAAATGAATTATTAAGTTCTTTTTGCAAGTGCGAATTGGCTCACGTTTGAAATATAAGATAAAAATAGATCTGTGAGTGCTAAAATGATAATTATTAGATATAAATTACAATCAATAAATGTGGCGTAGTACAAAATGAGAGAAATAGAATTTTATAATGTATGTACAATCGCCTTATTAGAATTAATTATTAGTTATCAATTTCTGTGAAATTTTAGTCTAATTTTACTTGAGTTAAATTTCATGGTTATATCAACTATTTAGCTATCACAGAGAAAAGATTTTTAAGCTTTGAGAGAAACAAAATTGAAACCGCATACCGTATTACATACAAAGATGTAACAAATGTAGCCTATCCAACATTGCAACATTAATCAGATTATTTTACACCCAAGGCTCTCGGTTTTATTTAAAGACATTTTAATAGTTACCATAATATAGGTATTTTAATAGGTACTACATTTTAATAATAGTAAGACCATTTTAAAGAGGAGTTGCATTGCATTTTTTGAGGTGCTTATTATTTGCTTCCCTAAATAGCTAAAACCCTGTGATGTACTAACAATTTTGTAGGCCTATATTTGATTTTTGGTCGTTGAAATGAACTGCTTATCATAAAAACATTACTTTTAATCCATTTTGGTATTCTGAATTTGTTATTCAAAGTAATAAAAAATTAGATGTTGATTAGAGCTATTATTTTAATGTAAAACATGTAAAAGTTCAATTAATGGAATAAAAAGTATAGTGAATGGCGTGGATTTGAACCAGAGACCCACCACATGTCTAGCGAGAACTCTACCTCTGAGCTACGCCTTAGCGCCTATGCCATGTTTTACTATACTTGAAAACCTACTTCTCCATTGCTTGTAACGGCGTTGCAATTATTTGTTACATCAATAAACGTTTAGGCTTATTATTCATGGTTTGTAGACTCAAAATTAGAATATCACCAAATGGTTTTCAACCCAAATATCCTTATGCATTCGAATATTTGAAAACATAGGTAAGGGTACTTTTGAAACCGTTCCAATAAACAAAATGTCCTTAGACGATTTAATTACATTCAAAATTTGAGCCTTCTTTTCTTTACTCATAGCAAACTTAATTTTATATGTCAGAATAAAAAAACTATGCAAATCACAGCGAATGCGGCAGCAACAGATCAATTTCCACCCAACTGCTGAGCGCCGCAACTAGGCCTACAACCGGCTACTACAATCACCGTGTTGATTGCAGCGACGCGACGCCGCGCCGCGCCGGCGCGTCGGCGGGCTCATTGATGAACATTAATAATAGCGGTTTGATAAATAATGAGTGATTGTTTTACTTATGTGTCTATATAGTTATTAATTAAAAGAAAACACTGCGTTTCTACAACTATTTACTTTTTGTATCAAATGAAAACAAAATTAAAACCCTTTATAAAGGGTGTGAAAACCCGCGATTGAGGTTAGAAATTTGTTTACAAAGTTTACCTTGTAAAGTTGGTCACGTGACTAGTAGTTTTGGTCACGTGACTAGTAAAATACACTAGTATTTACTAGCGGTATAAAAACGTTTATGAAACACAAATTAGTAGGACAGGTAAATACGGGACTAGTATTTACTAGACTAGTAATTACTAGACTAGTACTTTTATGAAACAGGGCCCTGATCAAGTTTACAATATTGACGAATCTGGTTTGAACTATAAGATGCTTCCCACAAGAACTCTTGCTGCACAAAATGAATCTGTACAAGGTACTAAACTAGCCAAAGACAGAATAACAATCGCTCTCTGCAGTAATGCGAATGGCAGCCATAAGATGCCATTGTTTGTGATTAGAAAGTCAAAAAAAAACCAAGAGCTTTTAAAAATATTAATCTGGCCTAGTTGCCGGGTTTCTACGGAAACCAAAAGTCTGCATGGATGGACTCTGCTCTTTTTAAGGAATGGTTTTTTGATCAGTTTGTCCCTTCTGTTACAAAACACTTGAAGGCAAAAAAACTCCCCAAACGTGCCATACTAATACTTGACAACGCTACATCTCACCCCTCTGAAGAAGAACTTAAAAAGTGAGAAATCAGAACTTTATTTTTTCCTGTGAATGTGACCTCTCTAATCCAACCAATGGACCAGGGAGTAATAGAGTGGCTAAAGAGACGATACCGCCGAAAATCCATTGGATCGATTTTAGAAAGGACAGAAGAAGGCAGCAGCTTGTTTGAGGCAATGAAAACAATCAATATAAAAGATGTTACCCACACAGTTGCCGATGCTTGGGAAGAAATGCCAGCCTCCACACTTGAGAAATCCTGGCGAAAACTCTGGCCAAAAATGAATCAAACCAAATGAAAACTAAACAGAACTAGGAACAATTGGTGAAATCCAAGAAGTACCAGCACCTGGCACGAGTGATGAAGAAGATGTAGACACACCAGCGATTGTGAGGGATCTGCAAACTTTACAACCGGAAGTTGAGCCCGATGATGTATGTGAATGGATGGTTACAGGTGACGTTGATTGCACAACCGAAGAGGAATTGAGTGACGAACAAAATATTGAAACTGTGACTGAAACAGATGACAACGAGAAAGATGATGACGTTGATAAAGACAACGAACCCACAACACGAGTATCACACGCAGACGCTAAGAATGCATTTGATCTAGCGCTTCGGTACATTGAAGAAAGTTCAACGTCTACACCAATGGATATTTTGTGGATAAGAAAATCCAAACGTCGCAGCCAAATCAAGATTGTCGTCTGCTAAGCAAAAGATCACAACAGACTTTTTTCGACCTGCTGAAGAACATTAAGTTTGTGTTCTGTTTCAGAACATGTGTATTAATAAAGTTATGTGTGTAGTTATGTGAATTTTCTGCTTAATTTGAATACAGTATTACAGGTATGTACAGTAGGCTACATCAATTATTCATACAGTACAGTACTGTATAGTTCGGCCGCTTAGAAAACGACCTGCGCGCTAATGCTAAACCAATGCTGGAGGAGGTCGCTTTCTAAGCGGCCGAACTATAGTATACTTTTTTATAGTTGTACAGGTATGAGTTAATCGCTTTTGTTTTTATTTAACAACACATGCTACGAATTTTATAGGCCTAAGAGTCAATGTAGAAATGTTTTTTGTTGTAGAGTACTGTAGCTCAAACTGTAGTTTCATTACGTTTTTATGTGTTGTAAATAACGTTCACTTTTTTATTAGCTGTACAGTGTTAGGCAATTTTTTGTCTTTGAGTAAAAGTTTGAGAAAGCTGTGAGTTTTAACATTTAAGTTTTTATTACTGTTCTGAACCAAGGTTTAATGACTTGGCATATGATCAAGATTGCACAATATCCTACTGATTGTATTTTGATGATGTAAGTTTATATGTAAATTATCTCAATAAAGTCCATTTATACAGTATTAGGCGTTCTTTATGAGTTTTAGTGCAATATTTTATGTTTAAAATAACGTTTTACTATGTTTTTCTGTCAAAAAACGAGTTCCTCTGATAATCCAACCTTTTTGCTGTTCCGACCATGCTCCCGGTCCCGTAGGTGACGGATTAGCGAGGTTCTACTGTAATAATATTGACAAAATGGCGACCCACTAAAGCAACTATAGCCTAATGGGTCAGCGTGAAGAGTCAAAGAGATATTTTTGATAAGCTTTCAAATAAATATGACTGAGTTAAGTTATTAAATATTTTCTTTTGGTTGACTTTTTAATGGATACAAAGCTTTAAAACAAAATATTTAAAGCTTACACCATTCACACATTACACCATAATGTGTAGCTGAGTGCAGCTGTTTCTTTTATCGAATCAGTCATTGATTCAGTAGACAAAGGACATTATACAATTGGCATATTTATGGACCTTTCTAAAGCATTTGATAGTGTAAAACATAGTAAATTACTTGAAAAACTTAAAATAATTGGGATATCTAAAAGAGCTCTTAACTGGTTTTCTTCCTATTTGACAAATAGATCTCAATTTGTGGAAATTACCCATTTGACAAATCATAATAGAATTATCAAATCATCATCAACTTATCAACCAATTAAATTTGGGGTCCCACAAGGTTCAATTTTGGGGCCTTTGCTTTTTTTGTGTTACCTTAAGGGCATGGAAGATAATTTAACCTACAAGCAAAATTCTATATTATGTCTTTACGCTGATGATTCTAATTTGATTGTATCATCTAAATCTCCAGAAGAAACTGAAATTTTTACATATGTAGAATTAGAGAATATTGGAAACTATTTCTACAATCATAACTTATTATTAAATTCGCAAAAAACTAAATTTATATATTTCAGAACAGCTCAGAACAAAATTACAAAAGAGCCAACAATAATTTACAACTCAAATAACATTCAAAAGGAAAATCTGATCAACTTTCTGGATTTAACAATAGATGAAAATTTGAATTGGGATAAACACACACAGAAAGTTTTGACCAAAACTAACTCCGGAATTTATGCATTGTCAAATATGTCCTTTTATTGTAATTTGAAAACCCTAAAAAGTGTATATTTTGCTCACATCCACTCTCATCTTTCATTCGGATTAGCATTATATGGGTCAACAAAAAAATTTAATATGGATAGCATTCTGAAGCGGCAAAAAGAGGCTATCAGAATTATGCTTAAGCTTAAAAGAGATGATTCGGCAAAAGAACATTTTAAGAAATTACAAATTTTTACAGTTTATGGGCAATATATTTATGAAACAATTCTTATTGCAAAAAAAATGAATCTGAGCAAGTAATAAATTCAGTACATTCTTATAATTTCAGGAGGAGAAGAGAGTTTGTCCAGCCTCACAAATTAAAATTTTTTGAAAAAAAAAACCCTTATACGCTGGTAACGAGTTTCTAAAATTTGTCCCTGAATTGATAAAAAAAGAAACAAACCTATCTAAATTCAAGAAAATTCTAAAAGATTATTTAATGAATTTAGCATTATATTCTTTTGAGGAGTTTTCCACCTCCCATACATAGATATAGTATTTTTATTTTAAGTATTCTGACACTATTCACTGTACCACCAATGTACATGACTTATGATGAATAAAGATGTTTGAATATGAATATATGAACATATTTGTGTTAAATTAAACCAACTCAGATGCTGACAATTTTAAAACAAATTTAAAAAATTTATTCAATAAGCAATACTGGGACACACAGTTTAAGGGCAGGCTGACTTGAAAAACAATTTTTTTGTATTTTACGATTTTATGTATTTTGAATCTTCAGAATGTCCTTTAAAATTATATACAAAATAGCTCATCTCTTCATTGTTTACCAAGTAAAAAATATGAAAAAAGGCTTGCAATTCAAGGCTTGCATTAAAATAATGCAAAAATAAAATCCCCTATTTGACGCTCTAAAAAAGCAAATCAGGTGTTTGGTGTCAGTGCATAAGAACATATCACATTAAATCCTCCTTATTATAAAGGCATAGGCTCTCACACCAGAGCTTTTCTTGGCTTTCCTGGCAGCTTTTGCCAGGAGCCTATCCTGAAGATGCCGATATCTTATGCTTGTGCACTGACACCAACCCTCTAGGAGCCTGGATTCAAACAAGCGATCCCGGAGAGACCGTGTGAATCGCTTTGGCCGAAGCGACTTAACCAACTGAGCTACTAAGGCTCTTCGTAACAACTAAGACGGTGTTAAGTGCTGCGCTGCTGCAGCGAGAGGCCTGGAACTACTACAACCACTGACAACGTACTGTACACACACAAATTAGGAGTTAAAATTATGAGATATGTTACTTTAGTTAACTTAAATACTTATGGGGGTGGACTGCCCTTAAAATCACAATACAGTAAAGGTTAAAGTTTAATATTCTAACACTGAGATGTTGCTCTAACAAACAACTGAGTGAAATGCTTAACTAATACTGTATAGCCTAACTAAAATAGTTGTTCAATTGAAAGGAACCCTCATTTCAACGAAAGGATACAGTAACCCAACAAGGTATTAGAAAGAACTTCATTTCCCCATTATTTGAAAGAACCCAAGAAGAACGCTTTTCAAAATGTTCCTGAAGGATAATCCCAAAGAAAATCTTGCTCAGATTGAAATTTGTGACTTACTATTCCGATTGCAATACTGCATTGCATTGCACTTCCTAACATAATATTGTCCTTTTTAAAATATATGTCAAATTCAGCCTATACAGAAATATGTTAAAATGCAGTCTATTTATAGGCTAAGCCAAACTGTTACTGCAGCATTGTGATGGTGATACAGATTGTACGGGAAGTTAATACTTACATGGTCAGCTGCCAAACATTTCACCCCCGCATCCTCCATCGTGTTGATAATGCCAGTCACTAAAAAATTATAGTACTTTTAGAACATTTATACATTTAAAATGTGGACAGACATAATCCAGAAAGCTGGAGACCGCCTGAAGGGCCTGGTCTTAGATGGTAAGGCCAAGAGCTTAAAATAAATTGAAATGCTAGGGACAACACCTGAGGTAGCCAATGATTGGAAGGGCCAAAATATTGGCCGAGGATGTAATGAACATTTGTAAATGATATGCTCAAGTAGTAAAACCTCTCTAACTCAAAAATTTGTGGATTCAGAGGTTGTTGAGATTAGTGGTTGTCGAGTTACTGAGAAGGCATTTTTAATGGGTTTTAAATAAATGAATGTACCGGTGCATAACAGATTAATTTTTACGTATAAATTTACTACGGTACTTAGGCCTACCGCACATGATTATTTTTACATATCGAGTAAATAACTTCTGAAGGAATGTTGAATATTCAACAATTTAAACTTGAAAAGTCGATCAGAAAAGTAAGACTAAGCTCAGCAAGACGTGCACCCTGTCAGCTGTTGACTGTTGAGTTAGCGAGGTTTTGCTGTATGTACATAGGCCTATAGGTAAATCATAAAATGAAATTAGCTTCATACAAAGCAACTAACAAAAATTATGTTATTTTTCAATTTTTAAGCTAAACTATGACCTAGGCCTAACTATAGTACCTACAGACTTTATTTAGGCAGACCACAAATTATGTTAATGTTGTACATTACAGGACCAAGATGAATTGTCTTTATAGGCCTAATATAATTCTATTGTTTTTAGTCAAGTGTAGCGTCCACACTAGCCAGCCAGTGTTTGTTTGTACATGGCGACCGAGGGCCCTCCTGGTATTATAACCTGTGTGGGCTTCATATTTCTAAATCGTGAGGCTAATAAACCAAGGAAGAGACGATGGCAAGGTGGAATTTCTGAAATAAATTGATTTTATTTGATGTTGTACTTGCAAGTTTCTTTAGGAAGGATCGTAAAATTGTCAAAACCTACTTTCACCTTCTATTTCTATTAGAATATTGCACAGGATTAAGAAAATTAAAAAAAAACTGACTCCTATAGGTTCAGAGGTTCTGTTAAGTAGGCAGACAGTCGACCGACTATCTGGAGACATCGCTGGATACAAATGGCAACTCTACGGAGACAGTTGTAAAGTTGGCATGTTGCCCTCGTGGACGACAGGTAGATGTAGAACAACTAATAGGTATTCTTGTTGTAAGTGGCTAACTTAGCCTATGCAGTTGGGAAATGAATTAATAAAAAAGATCTGGAATTTTCAAAGATCCTATAGACCCTAACTTAAGTTTTGTTGACCATAATGATTGTTATTCACCAGTTTAATAAATAACATTGGTCATGCATTAATTAATTGAAAATGAAACTTATTTTACACAGCCAATCCGCGTAAGAGAGGAATTTGAGGAAAAAGTAATTTTTAATATTAGAATTAAACTAATTATGCATTACTATGAGGTACAAGTAAAATTTAACGAATAAAAAGAGTAAATTTGAATATTTTTATTTTTACTGCTTTTTTTGATGATTTGAAGTTGCTATACTGAAGACCCAGATTACTCTTTGTAAATATGCTGAAGTTTTGAGTTCTCTGGTGGAGGCACCATAGTTCACTACCATATTAGACTGTGACCAGTTTGCAGTTGAGGTTATGCTCAAGTGACAACACCAAAATGAATGATCAGGCAAGATTCTTTATGAGTTTTTTAAAAAGTTCTAGAAAAGATGGTCGCATGTAACATCCGTTACACAAAAACATGAAAAAGTTATTTTTTTATATGAATGGTCTAAAGAAAAACAATGAAAGTTTCTAAAAGTAAGGTTAAGGTCTGCACATGTTGGTCTATACCCTAATATTTACATATTTATGTAAAAATACAATTTTATAAGAGGTTTAAATCTTGTAACATCCGTCGTGTAATATCCGTTACGTAACGGATGTTACAAGCCTTAAATAGGTGTTTCTGACTGCACTTACAAAGATTTTGTTTTAAATTCTTTGGCTGTTGTTTAACATAACCTCAAATTGTCTATGCTGCAACACAGACAGTGAAGGTTGCATGAGAAATGTTTGCGAGAATTTTAAAACTGATGTGAAGACTATTCTAAATGAAAATACTGACTACTCCGTAACTGTAAAGTGGAAATCATGGCGGAAAGAGGATGGAAAGTATCAAGTCATGGAAAATTAAACGCCTCTTTAAGATGTACTCGACAAAATAAATGAGACATTACCTGCTTTTAAGTTTCACTGTTTTGTAAAAAATGTCCAATCTGAACATTTTGATCATATGAAAAACAACATTGATAAAGGGTCAGCAGTAATACAGATTGATTACGCAGAAAACTTTGCCCTAACATCTCAAGATGAGATACAAAGTGCCCATTGGTGCCATGCTCAGGTAACTTAGTTTACCGCATGTATTTGGTCTGAACATGGAGTAAAATCGTACGTTGTCGTTAGTGATGACATGTCACATACAAAGGAATGTAGCTGGGTTTTCTTAAAGGCGGTTGTTAATGATTTTAAGCAGTTTAAGTACGAAGAACTTAAAACCCTCTCAGTTTTCTCTGACAATTGCTCAGCCCAATTCAAGAGCAAGTATACAGTGTCCAATGTCTGTTACCTGGCTTCTGATTTGAACTTAACAGATGTTCAGTGGAGCTCTTTTGCAGCTGGACATGGCAAGGGTGCAGTAGATGCTATTGGTGGCCAGCTGAAGCGAAACATTTGGATACGAGTTAAGTCAAAATCAGTGATCTTAAATACACCACAAGACTTTTTCAATGCGTGTCAGACATATTGCAACTTGGTTACAACCCTGTTTGTCTCAAAAGAAGATGTTGATGCAACCGGTGACAAGTTACTCAAAAAAAGATGGGAACAATCTGTTGAGATAATTGGAATACGAAAATACCATCATTTCCAGAAGCTAGATGATGATCATGTACTAGCTGCAGTAACATGCAGATCACCCATGCAAAAACATCAAGTCATCAAGGCTGAAAAATCAAAACAGAAGAAGACTCGTGTGAGATATTGTGATGTATATTCAACCGATTCAGAGGACGATTGCAGTAGTATTGGGGGATTGGAAGAGCGACAAAAAGATGAGAGTGAAGTTGTAGAAACTTTGATTGACCAAGATGAGTTGGTAGAAGAAAGTCAAATTATCCCTGACAAATATGTTCTGGTAAAATACCACACTCACAGGAACAATTTGTTTTATGCAGCCGTTTGCCAATCAGCTGTTACCGATGATGGGGAAGTTAGTGTTTTATTTCTGACCAGCCATGGAAAAAACGGATGAGTCTTTAAAGTTGGTGAAGAAGGAGAGAAATACATTGGTGTGGAGAAAGTAGTAAAAATTTTGCCAACTCCCAAAATAATAGCAGCAGGAAATAGGCTTTACTAAGAGTTTACTCGACCTCTTCCAGTGTCGTAATTAAATACAGCTAGTAAACTAGACCACTGCGAACAGTTAAGTTCAATTTATTCAAATAATTATATTCATAACTGGTAAATAGTTTTAAGTAATTGTGAGTGTCAGTTCTATGTAAAACAAATCCAATGGTAAAACAATATTTTTAAATAAACAATTTAGTAACCTACTTTGTGTTAACTTATTACCAGCTGCTGCATTTGAACGTATGCTATTTATATAAGAACAATTAATGGTTTAAGGTTGTAATATGTGATAAATGTTAACAATAAATAAGTAATAATTTGCATATCTGACAATAGTTATTTGTGCAGCTAGTGAGAAAAGTGAGCAATTGACTCACTCGAGAGAAATCCTTACTCACGAGCCGTAGGCGAGTGAGGGATGGTTTCTCGAGTGAGGCAATTGTACTTTGAACTCGAGTTGCACATTATACTTTTCCTACAGTTACCATAAAACAAATAAATTTGTGAAGAAACATAACCTATTTTTACACAGAAGTGAACTTTTAATATAACATTTAATGTGAAGTGACAAATACAACAGTACAACAGCTGACCAGCTGATTTACAGCCAGTGCTGCCAACGTATTTCGCGCGCATACGACGTTGCCTGCATGTTACGCGCTCACTATTTAGTGCCTTCACGTTGCAAATCTGGAGTGAGACAAAGTAATTAGAGTGAGACAATGTTAACATTGTCTCACTGATGAGCAAATTGGCCACTTTGTTTTCTCAAATCAGTGAGAGAACATGTACATTGTTAGGTAACTGTAGGAAAAAGAATTATGAATTTCATGTAAAAAGTTTAGTTTTGAAAGAACTAGCCAAATGTGAATAAAGTGTAACATCCGTTACAAAATAAGAGTAACATCCGTTACACTAGTAAATAATTATTTTAAAATTGCCTGATAATGTATATTAAAACAAATAAGTGCAAATAAATACTATACTTACTTCAGTAAGCCTACATAATAGCATTTTTCATTTAAAATTTGTAGATGAACTGAATTTTTAATGGAATGACATGATTATTTAGGCAGGTTCACAATTGTGTAACATCCGTTACGCGACAAAATAATTTTTTATTCGTTTATTCATCAATGAAACATACCCAAACTTACACTCCATATTAAGACCAACCTTATTTACCAACCAAAAGTCTTAAAATGGATAATTAATAATATTTAAAGTCAATATTAACATTTAATTAGTGAAAATGTAACATCCGTTACATACGGATTGGCTGTAACATTAAACTTAGGCACGTAGGCATACTTGCATGCAATCCTTGGACTTGAACATATTTTTTGAGTCAAGAGAACTGGCATGCAGTTTTTTTATTTTTATTAAAGGACTTGGCCTAAATAGCTTGATAAAATCTAGAATCTTGAAACATCACAGAACATTTGAACTATACAATTAGGTTACATCCCCTATACAGTAGGCCTAGGCTATTTAGGTCGACCTAGCTTGGTTGCATTAGGCCTAGGCTATATTATAAATAAATGGTATGAATGGGTACAGTTTCTTAACTGGGCTATGCTAATATCGATTGAAACTATCGATTCGATCAGTAAACCTTCATGCGATTTTTTCACCATCAGCAAGTTTGGTTGGTTAGGTTAGGTTAAGATAGTTTAATTTGATAATAAATATATTTAAAAATATCGATTATTAATCAATATTTTCAATTCGATAGTTTCAATCGATATTAGCATAGCCCAGTTAAGAAACTGTACCCGTATGAATAATGAATAAGCAAAAGGAAAGGAGTTTCATAGCCATAGGCCTACATCTACCGTTATAACTGTTAACGTAGCTAAACTAAGTTGAAATATTTAAAGTTAGGTTATTTGTTTGATTGATAAGTTAAATCGTTAAATGAAATAAGTAAAGTAAGCCTTAGCACCTTAGGTAGGTAAATCAGGGACGAAAATGTGCTGAAACATTAAAATCGTCCAAAACATTATCAATGGGCGGAATTGTTAGCTGAAATGAATAGAAATATAGGGAATATACTGCATCAATATGCCTTATTTTTTGTTGACGATGCCCATTGCATTTGTACAATGCTTAAAGGAAAATAAATTCATTTCATTTCATTTCATTTCATATAGTTTTTACTCAAGTTAATCTCTAAAACGCTTACGGCTTAATCATAACTTAGACATAGACCAGACCCACTTGTTAGTTGTTGGTGGCTTAGGTGTAGAATTAAGAATTGCCAATAGTTAAACGAATAGTAGGCTACGTAACAGTTTTACCTGGCTACCACTGCACATTATTGAAACTTAAGATTTGGTATGAAACAAACTTTAAACTAACATTAACACTCGGTAAGTTAACAAATAAGTTATAAGTAACTAGTAACTTATCTTTTCCAGTCCAATTCAAAATTCAAAATAGTCAAAGTCAAGCTTACCTATTTTTTTTTTCGTAGTAGTGTAAATAAAATATACAACACAAACTGCCGAGGCAAATTTCCAAAGACAACGAAAGCACAACATCGGGACAGGGCAGGTGGAATCCACAAAGTAACAGATTAATAAATTAAGTTTAAGTACAGTCATAGATTTACAGTATAGTACAGTGTGGTACAGTACAGTTTGAAGTTAAGTATAATTCATTATGTGGGGTTGTACCACGGCACAGCCACCTTTAACTACTCACCTCAAGGGGTGTCACAGGTTGACGCTTCGCTGGAGCAGAAACTACGTCCGAGAGAAGGAACTGGATGCAGCCTGGCTCACCTTGGCCTAAACTTTAGGCTTTGTTGTCTGGACGAACTATTCTCTTTTTGGAGGAATTTCCTACGTACGTCGAAGGTCTCCTGCATTTCTTGGAAGGATTTCCCTGTCCGTTTTCCCTGTCATTGGGCAGTGACACCACCCCTCGGAAAATTTTTCAATGGCCACATTGGTAACCAGCCGGCTGGTGAAGATGAAAGCAATCCTCCCCCACCCCTTGAGCTTGCTGCTTGGTCATGCCATTTTGACGACATGGTTGACTCTTTTCTGGGTTTTCAGGTTTCCAGCATGGTCTCCACCATGTTTCGGAGCCGGTTTTCTATACTACTCTCCGGGTCAAGATATTCCTGAGGCAGAAACACCAACTCAAATTATTATTTTTTTTACCACAAAGTTTGGTGTTAGGGGTTCCTTCAGCATTCCTTCGCTCTTTTGAAGGGGAAAGACAGACGCCCCCTTCCCAAGCAAAGGCACCATTGGTGTTCTTGCGTCATCGAGGGGGGGGGGTTACCTAGATACATTCCCTCCAATCTGAACACCGCCAATTCTGTCTGCTTACCAAGCCCACCATGCTTCCTGAAACTGTAATACCCATATAAGTTTGATCCAGCGTATCGTGTGGCAAGGGGCGGTCCGGAACACGTATACCCACGGGTACAAAGACCCTACCCCAGTTCCCTGGTTATATCAAATCAAATCAACTTTATTCACTTTATACATTTTATATACATGAATAGTGTCAAAGCATACAACATTAGTTATACAACTTAATCTAAATGACTTAACCATAAATTTGACAATTATTTTAGAATGGACAGCTAATTCATTTTTGATTTATAAACTCATCTATACTATAGGGAGCCAGATTAATTAAGAATGATTTTAGCTTCTTCAAAAAATTTGGTTTGTTTTGATCTTTTTTTAGTAAGGTAGGCAAACTTCTAATGAATAAATTGCCAATATATGAAGGCTTCATTTTTGAAAGTTTCAGACGATGATGACTTTTTACAGTAAGATTTTTCCACCTTGTATTGTATTTATGGGATAGTTCAGTGTTTTTATCTTTATAAACATGCCGAATAGTTTTAAAAATATACAAACCGTACACTGTAAAAATTGTCATTTCTTTAAAGTACTTTTTCACCAAACCAGTGAAAAACACACCATCTGCCACACTCCATCTGCTGTTACCATTGACTTTAAACGGTGTTTGTATAAAGTGTGTAAATTAAAGTCTTGAAACAAATCTGTATTTTTAAAACCAAAATAGATAGAAATATTCTGCTTGTGGCAATAATTGTCAACAAAGGTTCCGCAATTTTTTCATGAAAAATATTTTAAACCCCCCTAACAGGGATGGGGTGGAGGGTGACTTATTTTTGTCAAATAGCAACCCCTATTGAGTGACCCCTCATTACAAAAAATACTGTGGGGCACTAATCTTTAGCCTACTATAATGACAGGGAAGAGTGCGGAGAATATATCGACCTAAGAAGGTCGATCTTGATCGGCCTTAGTTTTCTGAGGAAACTAGAAGGAACGCCCTAGGAAGGAACGTACTTTAAAAGGCCTAGCCCGAAGTAATGTGCTAAACAGTTCCAGCCTAGTGTCCAAGGAGATTAGGGGGTTGTTTTAGCCGGTAGTCCGGGAACATTGAGCCCGCGGGAGTCCGGCACTACTGAGAGAGGCCATTGAGCATCTCAGTGTGCGTAAATACAAGTTTACCTCCTCCCCATAAAAAAATTATAAGTGAGAAAGTTTGGATGGATGGATGGATGTTTGTGACAAGTAAACACTAAAAATACTAGTCGGATTGGGCTGAAGTTTGGTGAGATCATAGCTCACATTTCCGATAACATAGAGACGCATTCTTATCTCAAAACGCCTTTCGGGCTCCGCCCCAGTGGCTCTGGAGTTTCCCATGTTAACCTTATGAGTATTCATATTTAAAAGGAATAAAAGAATTTTGTAAGCTGTTTCAAATACATAAGTTGGTTCCATGATATTAAATAGCATTAAAAGGTTTTAATGTTTACCAACAAGGTGCAGCACTATTAATTTTTTGCATTTATGACAAAATATAATTTGAACCAACTAGCAAAAAAAGTTGAGAAAATTTTGAATTTCACTTTTTATTGTTTAGGGGCAGTGGTAGAACATTATGGCTATGGTAGATGTGCTATACTATAGCATACCGTAAATTAAAAGAACAAAATTTTCTTAAACCGTGTCCTCTCCCATTGCAAACGCAAAGCACGAGTATAACTGCAATAAGCATTTTATACTTATACGCCAACCCCGTACGAAGGATGGGTACTCTGCTAGTTTAACATATATATACCCTTGACTATAACATATAACATATATTGACATATATTGACTTCACATATATTGAGCTTTAAGGATTGACTTAAATCAAGCTTAGAAGCTTAGATGTAAAGTCAAAGTAAATTATTGTTTTCTATCCTGCAAACTCGTCCGTAATATTTTTACTCTACCTTGAAAATTCTAGTCATCTGAAGATTTGGTTTTCCAAACAAACTAAAAACATTCAATTTGTATACTGAATTCACAACAAAAAAACAAAAAAATATATATTGCGAGTCCCATGCCTCACTTTAAGTTTAAGTTTCCTAAAATGATTCACTCGCTTAGCTTAGTCAAGAGGTGTTAGGTTAATGAGACATAAGACTGCTTAAGGGTGTTACTCAACGTTTAATGAACAAAAATAAATTTAGAAAAACAACAAAAGTAACAAAGTGTTACAACAGCAAAAGAAAACTTAGAAAAGGCAAAAATCAACAATAATAAGATAAATTAATTAACAACGTTAAATTTACAAGAAAAGAAAATCAATTGAAAATTTAAAAGAATTAGTTACTGACAAAATACATGACTTGTATGTTTGACAAAACTTTAGTTATATATTTTATTCTTTTTACATACTGTTAATTGTCCCAGAAGCACACGCACCGATACACGCACTCCCAAACTCCTGATCTTCTTTCTCCGGTGGCCCGTGGTGATCTCCTCGATTGTCCTCTCCAGGTCCTCCAGCTCCAAGACTCGTCACCCCTCCATCTTCTTCATTAGCCCTTCTCATTGGCTGATTGCCGATAGGGTGTGTGGCTTATAGGTTAACGATGTTTCTTGGAAGTCAGCCCTACCGGTCATCGCCTAGCTCACATCAGCTGGGAAAGGAATTTGTAAATCGATGCTCATGCTACTGTTCAACTCTGTTCACACCAACTGGTCGACTAAGTGTAATGTGAACAGAGTGTCTGCATAGATGAGCACCGTGGGTACGGGGTTAATCCCCTTTCTTACACCCCCCTGGTTAAAACGTCAACCTACCACCGGTTGACAATAAAAAAGAAAAAAACAACTTAAGGAGATACACGGAAACATCAGTCGCGAAGGTGGGAATCGAACGGATATCTTGATGTGGGTTCCGACTCTTCTTCCCCCTTCCTGCGACGCGACGCGATCTTGAGGATCGGCGCATTTGCTTGTTTCGCGACCCTTCCAGCGACGCGGTAGAAAGAGCTGGTGGTGTATAGCTCATAGTCGCTCACGTCTTCTTTCGCCCCATCGAGTCTCCTTAAGTTAATTGATTGTTTCATTAATTTTGAACTATTTAAATATTAGCTGTTTCAGATTATGTTCAGATTATTAATGGTTTATTCTGGGTAACACTTTGTTACATTAATAGTCTTTTTGAGGGGTTTGAGGTTTTGTGATTAGATTCATTTTAATATTGAGTATGTGGATGAAATATGCTGAAATAATGAGTAAGATTGTTAATATTACAATCCAGACTAATAAAATGTACAAAATTACTCTTCGATCATCTAAAATGTCGGTCCAATTATTCTTTAATGTTATATGACTAAACAATTTAACAGGTTCTAGATTCCTTACAACAAAGGTGGGAGTGGTGATATTCCAATCGTCTATTATGAAGTTTGTGATGTTGTTGAATTCTGATCTATCGATCCTGTCTAGTGGGTCGACTTTGAGATAGTTTAAATTTGTCCACGGAAGAGGAATTAAATGAAAAATGGCTGGTGATTGATGGTCTCTGGAATCACAAGGAATGATAGTGTCAATGATTATTGTTTTTCCTTGGGAAACAGAACAGTCACAAGGTAATCTAATCTCTAGAGTTCCTGTTCTCATTTTTGGTACCCTAAAAATTTCAGGGAAAATCAAACCAAATTTTCATACCGCTACAAAGGTCCTTATACTGTATTAAATCAAGTTACACCAGTCTCATATCTAGTGGAAATCTTAAAAAATGGAAAACTTGTCAAAGAAGTAATTCATGTCTCCCGAATGAAAGTTTTTCAAACAAGACTTGTAAAATAAAAATATTTAGTTACGTTAGGTCAGATGCAGGTGTGAGAGACACAATAACCGAGTTGTCCATCACAGCCTAAAGTTATTATTTTCTACTTAGTGTCATATGCCATACGGCACCCCCCTTTGCGACAAGATATTCTTCGACAAGAATTCTCTCATATAATCTCTGATCCGACGTAAATGATAAGCTCCTTCAATTAGACAGGTTTCCATGACAAACATCCCA